TTTTTTTACATACTGTCGATAACTACCTCCGATCCTCAAATTGCGGCAGTTATCGACAACCCTATTTCCGACCTTAACAATACCCCGGATGTAGATATTACGCTGACAAACGTTGCAGACGCTTCATGAGTGAAGTTGGATTACACCATTATGTGACAAATATTTCAGAAAAAAATGTTATCAAAATTCGAAGTGCCAAACATATCTTATCGGGGCCCGTAAGGGAGGTTTAAAAACAGGATCGATTCTTCTCTTTGGAAAATAAAAGTTCAGAAAATTTGTTTAACCGGTGTTGTCTGAATGGAACGGTTCCGAGGGATTCCGAAAAAGGTAAGTGTATCTATCAAAAACACCGAGTGTCTGAAAAACGGTTCGTAATCAATCCAAAACGAGATGAATAGAACCGGGGGTCGATAATACCCCCCTGTCGATAACACCCTCCGTTGCTTTACCAGGGGATATATATATATAGGCTTGCTAGGTTTCCCTCTTAAATTTCCAGGGCAATCAATGGAAATAGAATGTATGTAGTAAGGTATTTCAACTAACACAAAATTCCCCTCATTACAGACATGTATATCACATTTTTCAGCAATGATATTATGCCTGAAAACATCTCCCTTGCTGTAGATAAGACACCACAGTTCAACCTAATGCCAGTGTATGGTAAGTCACTTGATATTCAGTTTATATAATTCCAATGACCTAAGTTGTAGGCACATTCAATTATAACTCCACTGACCTGTTTAGACTATAATACAGTTATAATTCCGTTGATAATTCACTTTATAATAGCTACAATGCCAGTATATCTCATTTTCAAACTCATTGTGTAAATCGCTTTTGAATGAAATTGATGGTTCTATTCCTAATTTCTCAAATATTCATCAAAACAAAGTTGTTTACTAGTTTAGGGCAAAAATGTAAGAACTTGATGTTATTTTTACAATGTCATCTTTAACACAGAGTTGCAAATCTGTTGGCATTTTCTTGTTTGGAAAGTAACATTGTAACTAATGAAGATGTTAGATGAGCCACCACCGGGTACTTTCTCAATGTCAGTGTTAGGACTGCAGAATTCTAGTGGAAAGTTGTTTCAGAGTAAGAAATATTGACAATAGTGTATTACATTTTTGGTACTCTTGTTCCATTTCAGGCCTGAATGTGTACAGTATGCTGAAACACGAGACCCTTGTTTTAACTTTGGCAGCTGTTGAAAAAATTGAAAAGAAACTTTTATATCAAATGCACAAGACTGCACGATCAAAGAAATACAGTTACGCCACTCGGTATCAAGAGTGGTGACCATTTGTGGACCTGCTGTGTGATTGTGGATTGTAGTGAATGGATCGAGCATTAAAAAAACATTTACATCGATGGCGATCCTGTGTTGGTCTGTTATTGATCGAAGTGTATGTACTGTATTGTATGTCGATGTAGGCGCCATCACTGACGATTGGCGAACTGTGTTTCTTCATATGTAAAAGGACAAGTAAACAGTAACAAAGATTTGTTAATGGACTGAGGGGAACCATTTAAAACTCAATGACCTCGTCTAAACTCGACTTCAATCACATTGGCATTTCATGTCTAAACTTGAAACAGTGATGATAATCAACACCTATAAAATGGAAAAATGGACTTCAACAAAACCTTATATGTATGATTGGTACATCCTCCTGATATTCCTAGTTTGTTTCACATGTTTTTTACCCAGAGGTACTGCCCTTTTTGTTCTTGACCAATTCAAGCCCTTTCCCCGACAAATTTTCCAAATGTGACCAATTGCAATGTAACTTTCTGAGACAGACAAAAGGGGTAAATTTGACATGAAATATGGACAACATAAAAATTTTGGGATTCAATATGGCTGATATTAGCTGAGACAAAACAGTTGCAACTTTAGTTCAATTACCTGGACATTGTCGAAACTTAAGCTTTCTGATGTTTTGTTTCCCCGACACCAATCTAGTTTATACTCATGGTTCTGATAGAAGCAGATAACAAGAACAATTTTATAAATGTATTTTATTTTTTCTTCATAGACTTATGTATTTTTTCTGTTGCTTAATTTAAAAAATAAATTACATGTTATATTCACAACTAAAACAGCACAAGAGTGACATGGACTATTTTCTATGGTATATACACCTTGTAACATGATTTGTCTACTGAAACACATTTGTTTTACAATATAAATCTATACACACATGACCAGACGTTATTACTAGAATGCTCTCACACTGGGCAGAGATCACCAACACAAATCGTCTCTGACGGGTGAACTCTGTATCTAATTGACCCATCAAATTAACATAGCATTTTGGGTTCATTATTTTTACTAACAAAGTTGCCCCAAATTTAAAACTGCAATAGGTTTCATCATTCCAAGCCCATGGTTTATACAATGTATTAAGGACGATTTCACAATGTTAAATAACCTTATGGTCACAGGGTATATGATATCATGCAATACCTTTCAGTGTCACACTTGAATTGTGATGTCGGGTCTTAAATAAAGTTACTTCCTAGGAATCAGAGAGGTCAAATCTTGCTACTTGTAAACAGAAAAAACATGTTTTTCTCCTATATTTACAAATTTGCTGAAGCTTTTAGAGTTTCCTTTAGAAAAAACTCAAAAGACTGGATTTAAATCCTCACTTGTTGGAAACTGTCTACATGCATGTATACAACACTTCTAAACACTATCATGATGGGATGAGTCAACATCAAGTGACTGGAGAAGTATACACAGAGAAAGACGGTTTAAATGGTCACAAGTAAACGGTTTTAGATATTAACCAATCTGTACAACTACCAACAGAGTCTATACATTACATATCCGGATGCAATAAACGCCTTGTGCATGTATTTCAGTAAAAGTCATGATTGGTAAAACAATTTAAGATTCTAATAGGTGTACCATCAGTGGCTCAGCCTCCAACAAACCTAATGAGTACATCCATGTCTCGGCCTCCAGCAATCCTACAGAACAAATTCAGGGCGTAGCCTCCTAACATGCCACTGAGAACATCCATTGCTCAACCTAAATAGCCACTGAGTAGACTATGGATGGCCCATATCTAACAACTGTGACATACCATGTCATGGAACAGGCATTAGAACTTGTACAGCAGATGTTATCACGAGATGGAACACTTGTCAGTCTGTTAATTGATAAGGTAGGTATCTATACCAGTACAATCACAGGATGAGCAGTTACCACATACACACAAGTTGAAATGTCGTCAGTATTCATGGTAGAATCCATGAGGTGGCATCTGCCCTTGAGCAATGTCCATACGTATCTGCCACCTCAGGTCTCGCCTCTTCTTGTCTGTAGGTACCACATACTTGTTAGGCACAAACACCTTTTGGGCTTTCTGAAAGATTTAAATCACAGTTCATAAACATTTACAACTTTGTAATTTTTATTAAACATACGTTTTAACCTTAAAAATGTACCAAATAGTTTTTCTGATAGAAAACAGATTTTACATTGATATCAGTTTCTTTGACTATATAGAAACAAGGACATAGAAGAATTGATGAATTTTATATATACAGTATTTAGTACATCTTGCATAAAAACAAAGCTCTGAAACGAACTACATGAACGACATCACAGTGCTATCGATCATAGAACGTGTAGCACTGCTGTATTATATATTGTCTTACACTTCCTATGGACATGGCTTCTACTTACTTTCTCTAACACCTGGTCTTGGGATAGCATGTGTTCTCGGATGTTCCAGCGCAGATTTTTGTGAACCTTTTCACCAGGAGCCTTCTGGTGGGACCATTTTTGTTGGAACTGCTGATACCGTGCCACCGGATCTGACTTGCGAAGATTCTTGGTGTGGGGATGTTTAGCTGACCTCAGGATAACTGCCAAAATAAAAGGGTAATAAGCCGAAAGTCAGGCAGACATTTTTCAATACTTTTCCCTGACAATCCTGACAACATATTAAAAGCTGTCTTGCCAACTACATTGTGACAACACTATTAAAATAAGTTTGTATACAGTTACCACTTGAACATAAAGGACATATTAATTATGTTAATCAAATTACACAATATAACATAAGACAATACAAGACTACCATGTACATCGGTGTGATAAAATATACCATCATATGCTATACAGCATCCTTGAAGACTCATAATATAATGATGAACTGTTGTAACATATGGTATGAAAATATTTTAAGAACTACATGCATTTGTGCTATACTTCTCAGTAGAGGTGAATCATTTCTTGGAAGTGGATTATACTTCACTATGACCAGTAAAAGATTGACAATGTAGATTCCTTTGATACCTTCAAAGGAGTTGCATATGGATTGCCTCTTCAAACCGTTGACAGTCAGGGAACACATACCGGTATATAAATACTGGTGTACTGAGCTGCTTTGCTAGCTATCCTGTTTTGATCTTGATTTAACAATGGTACCTTACCTGAGGCAGGTCGCTGGTCGTCAGCTGACAATCTGTATGGAGGCTGCAAATGTGATTTTACAGATGTCAGAATGAATTACAAGTACACGTGTCAGCCAGTACGAAATAACATTCATGTGATGTGCGGAACATAATTTGTCCATACATTTAGCACAACCTGATATTCTGAAAATTTGAATTTAAAGACTGATTATGAAAACAGAATTAATACCTATTTTTCTTCTTTTTTTTAAAAACTTATGCACACTTTTAGATGATATCACAATTTTTGGGTATAGATATGTTGTTGTTGTTTTTTTGAAAAATTGGAAGTCATGGTTTTCATTTAATACCACACCAATATTGAAATTATAATAAAGGCAAATGAGATATAGTATTTATTAAATTTCATTAAAAAAGGCTATAAAGTAAAATAATTTTTCAATAAGTACTTTGGACTTGTTTTTGAAGAAAATCAAGACATTAATTGTTTGTGCTACATTTCATATTTTTTGGCTGAAAGAAAAATGTATTGACATTTTTATTTATTTACTATACTATTATCAGTTTGATTTATTTTTATTTACCAAACAATTACCATTGGGGTATGTAAATCCAGAAAATATTCACAGCATCTGGTTTGGGTTTTACAGTATACCCTGATCATGATGTTGTACAAAACATTGTTATGAAACATAGACGGCACATTAGAAAGCCTAAATATTTTGTTTTACTTTGTTACTTGGATCTCGAGTGTCTTGTTACGTCTGACTGATCACCTAGCTTGTGTTGGTGATTGGCTACAGGTATGGTTTAATGAGTCCCTAACTATCGGCTTCGTGGTCCTACACACAGTTTTAAACTAGGTCAGACAGTGTGATCAGACACTGTCCATGATAAATTTTAAGAAGCATGGAGCTTCACCAAAGCATTAGATTGCAGTACAAAGAATGTGAGATCATCAACACACAGAAAACATGGCCTGATATTGTGAGAGTTAACAGGTATGCTTTGGAATATATACTGGGGTTCACAATGACACCAGAACCTTGTCAGTATATGAACTACATTTATCCTTCACTCACCACTTCTCTGGAGGACTGAGGTCGTCGAGATGTGTGGTCGTCATCGATTCCAAGGTCTCGCAGTCTCTCATCAAGGTCAAGTATGCTTCCTGAAATATCCCACATAAATTTACTATCTGTATTGCAAAACAACTATAAGTTGTTGTTATCCCTGAATATACAGGAAAAACTACTGGCTGATATGTTTTAATTATTGTATAACAAAAACATTGGACTCACCTATATCGCTCATCGACTCATCAATCACTTTAGATCCATCATCTTTTTTCCTACAAAAAAATAAGAACATACAAGTACAGCTAAACAACAAAGATTATCACCATAGATGTATTGTAAACTCTTCCATCAACCTCACAGTTGTGTCCCCTGGCAATATTTCATCAAGATCCAACTCCGCTATAGAAAATTATGCTAATGTATAAACTAACATACAACGTTCCCTAGATTTCTGTTTAAAAGTGTTTTACTGTACACCTATCTGTAAAACAGTGGCAATGGTCAACTAAACAAGAGGCCCAGGGGCCTTAATAGCTCACCTGGTATTTTATTTTTCAATTTAAAACCTGCTGAGTACCATTCAGGTTTATCAAAGGAGTACAAGTAACAAAGTTGCATCTTCCATTTATAAATATTCAATTCCCTTTGCCCAAAGATTCTCTAAAACAAGTTTGGTTAGGTTAAAATCCCTTCAACGGTACAGAAGGAGAAGGATCTTTAATGTTTTCCTCTATTTCCCCTAATGGGCCCCACTAATCTGCCCCAAAGAAGGGGAATCCACACACCTCAGTTTAAACAAAATTGATTCTTTTCTCCCTAAGCATGCTTCAGACTGCATTTGGTTTAAATCCCTTCACTTGTATAGTAGGAGAAAAAAAATCCTCTATTTCCCCTATTGGGCCCCGCTCCTATGCCGCCAGAAGGCCCACACCCTCCGTTTATACAAACTTGAGTCTCCTTTGTCCAAAGATGCTCTAGGACAAATTTGGTCAAAATCCTTCAATTGGTTGAGGAGAAGATTTTTAAAGATTTACCTATTTTCCCCTATTTGGCCCCGTCCCTCTGCCCCCAGGGGGACCATACCCTCCGTTCATACAAAACTGAGAACCCTTTGGCCAATGATGCTCCAGACCAAATTTGGTCAAAATCCCTTCATCGGTACAAAAGGAGAAGGATATTTGATGTTTTCCTCTATTTCCCCTAATGGGCCCCACCCATCTGCCCTTAGAAGGAGGCCCACACACCTCAGTTTATACAAAATTGATTCTTTTGTCCCTAATCATGCTTCAGACTGCATTTGGTTAAAATCCCTTCACTTGTATAGCAGGAGAAAAAAAATCCTCTATTTCCCCTATTGGGCCCCGCCCCTCCGCCCCCAGAGGGGCCACACCCTCCGTTTATACAAACTTGAGTCTTCTTTGTCCAAAGATGCTCTAGGACAAATTTGGTCAAAATCCTTCAATTGGTTGAGAAGAAGAACATTTTTAAAGATTTACCTTTTTTCCCCTTATTTAGCCCCGCCCCTCTGCCCCGAGGGGGGGCTATACCGTCCGTTTATACAAAACTGAGAACCCTTTGGCCAATGATGCTCCTGACCAAGCTTCAGACTGCATTTGGTTTAAATCCCTTCACTTGTATAGTAGGAGAGAAAAAATCCTCTACTTCCCCTATTTGGCCCCGCCCCTCTGCCCCCAAAGAGGCCACACCCTCCGTTTATACAAACTTGAGTCTCCTTTGTCCAAAGATGCTCTAGGACAAATTTGGTCAAAATCCTTCTATTGGTTGAGAAGAAGAAGATTTTTAAAGATTTACCTATTTTCCCCCTATTTGGCCCCGCCCCTCTGCCCCCAGGGGGGTTATACCCTCCGTTTATACAAAACTGAGAACCCTTTGGCCAATGATGCTCCTGACCAAATTTGGTCAAAATCCTCTGAGCCATTCAGGACAAGTAGCATTTTAAAGGAAAAAGTTGACGGACGCTGCACCATGGGATAAGCTAAAAATCATGATACCTTTTATCTTCCATATAGATTTATCTCCCCTTCGACCACATGTACATGACCAAGAATTGGAACAAAAGCCTTGGTCATTGAACTGTTACTTCAGGGCCCATTTAAACAGCTAACATGTGACAATTTTTCAATACGGTGATAGCCAGTCATGTTTTGCTCTTTGATTCTTCAGGGTTTTTTCACTTTGATTTTTCAGGTTATTTCACTCTAATTTTTCAGGTTATTTCACTTTAAACAAGACTTTTTCTTTCCATACAGCAACTTTACGGAGAATGCCAGGGTTCGGGAACCCTAGATTCACCCCATTTACAACAAATAGTCTTGCACAGGTGGCCTCTTTCTCATCTGTCACTCGTTTCACTTACATTTCATTCAAGGGGTGACAAATTGACCTTCATGAATTAGACCTAAGGCAAAGTAAACATGACCTTCTTTGTAGTTTACTAAATCTGTCTCAAGATCAACTCAATCCATCTATGAACTTAACCATAGCAAAATTCAATAAATAAATCAACGATTGATTGATAAGGGGAAAAGTAAGGTTGTAAGAGCTGCAGTGTATTGATTTCATGTCCTTACCTTAGCACTTTACGCTTGACCATCCTACGTTCAGTATCCGTATCAGACACATCATCTCTGTACTGGAGGTGGGAGGTGTCTGGTGTTGAGTCGTACATGGAGAAATTCCCACCAATCTGTTTTGGGGCTGGACCAAGAGGTTTTCTCAGAATGGGGTCTGTTCCAATATCATACCGGTTCTCCTTACCTCCTTGGTGATTCGGTATCTATGTATGGAAACCATCAACACTGTTGAAATCCAGTTAATACATCACATTTCATAATACTGTAAATCTTCATAAATATTCCTATTCATCACCTCTCTGACTGGAATGATTTCCGAATCTAATCAGATAGTCATCTATCAAAGTTTTACCTGTCAATAATATATAAAGTTCTTTTAGTATATTGTTCATAGTTCTTGACATTTTTGGACCGCATGAAATCGAAGATCTTTCAATACGGTTTGAATATAGAACCTATATTTGGGAAATAGTTCATACACATCCAACACTCTGACATACATAATGTATAAAGGCTATACCCTGAACAGAAGTATTAAATTGATAGAACTTTGAGTTCATGTCCTGGAACATGTCAGCTTATAATTATTTGCAGCAATATCTACAACACTTGTTATTACAATGTGTCACAAGGTTGTTCACATTACTCACCCTCCAGGAATCTTGTGTAGTAGATCTTTGTCGTGATTCTTCTAAAGGACTCCTATTATAACTGTGTGGGAAACCTGCTCAAAACACAGATATTTCACTATCATTCACATATTAAGACAACTAAGTAAAATTTAGATTTTAAATGCTGACAATTAACAAAATGCATGCAAATAAATTTGAAAGGCAAATATGAAAACAAAAAGCCTTAACAAATTGGAATTTATAGTCTAAAACCAATCAGTTTTACTTGCTTGTTGTTTACCTTCCAATCCTTCTAAGTCCTGGTTTCAACTTAATTACCCTTACAATAGTGTTACAAAGTGATTACCTTTATCTGCAATAATAACAATGGCAAAAAGAAATAATTCTTTGATACAAACTTCTTTTTTACATTTCATATTAGATAAAACAAGATAAACTCATTGATTATTAATCCAGAACAGCACTGACCAATTCAGATCTTTTGGGGGCCATTCCCATTGAAAGTAGTTTTACATTTTCCCAAAATCTCTTAAAATTTCTCAATTCTTTAAAAATTTCATCATGTATTCAAATAACATAGAACATCAAATACCCAAAACGAAACACTCTTTCATAAATATGGATGTTTTAGTCATTTAGATGATACTTTATATAAACAAATTTCTGTATAATTCCAAAAATCCTTGTTTAGTTTTGTGTGACACAATTTTCCTAATTCCAACCACAGGCTTCAATCTCAACATAGAGACACAATGCTGTGTGATTGTTTGACTTACCGTTGGTTGAAACTGATGTGTCTGGAGGAGGATGTGATGAGAGGCTGTTGTTGTGTGAACTCTCTTTGCTGTACTCATGTTTAATTAGCACTTTAAGATCTACAACATGTAGTCAGAAATACTATTTTGTGAATTAAAACTTATGACGTTGAATGCTTAATTAAATTCTTATGTGAAGTTCTGTTTTACTGCATCAAGTATACATTTCTTCATAAGGTGAATGAGGTAGAAATTTACGGGACATTTTTCTTGATCAACCTTACTAGTACTCCAACCTATGCCATGTGTGAAAGTGATCATTTACAGACTTTGAGCCCAAGAATTCTATTGATTGTTCAAACTTATTATAGTCATTAATATATGGTTCAGATAATGGCCTGAAACACAGTGACACTATTCAGAAGGAGAATGTTTTCAGACTTAAGTATTTAATGCCCAAATGTAAATTGCCCCCGTATTTGCCCAGTCCCCATATATGAGCTTTATTTATTCTTTACACAGCATTTGATTCCTATAGTAATCATTGAAGGATCAAGGAAGATTCATAGGAAATTTGGTTCTGTATGTAATGTATATGATTATCTATAGGGTGGGGATCCCAATCCTGTCCCTGTCATGGTCCTGGACAGAGTTTTACTAAAGGTCGTAATTCCACACGTAGACGTTAGATGTAGGCGTAACTTACGTCAAAAATCTGTTTAACTAAGGTCGTAACTTTTAGTTACGTGTAAAGTTACGTGCGAGTCGTCGTCTTCCTCTGAACACACGTAAGTTCCCACGTAAGGCTATGTCTAACCCTACGTTTACATTCGGAGTTACAACCTACATGCACATAACTAAAATCGTAACTTGACTAACGCCTACGTTTGCGTCTGGACTAACGACCTTTAGTAAAACTCAGTCCTGAGATTTAGTCCCTAGGGGCATGGACCTGACAGTATGATTGTGATCCACTGACTACGTTTGCGTCTGGACTGACGACGTTTAGTAAAACTCAGTCCTGAGATTTAGTCCCTAGGGGCATGGACCTGACAGTATGATTGTGTTTATTTCTTCATAACCAGCAAGCACATGAAAACAGTCACTATAGGGTTATAGGGAGTGATCCTCAACCATTTCTAAGTTATTTAAATCTCGACCCCTTGTATATCCTCTTGGTTTGTACATTTTTTTTAACACATCATTACCTGAGGATACTTTTACCATCCATAGCTTAATACTTGTAACATAGTTCAATAGAACTGGATGAAAGCAATATGGTCAATATGAACCAGGTGAACAAATATGTACCTTTCTTAAATTCCTTCAATCTGCTATCTGGCACATTGTGGTATCCTAGTTTTGATAATTCATATCTGATCTCATCATCAGTGAAATCAGCTTCTTCCTCCAAATTCATCTTGTAATATCGTCTGACTTTCCTTCCAAAGCCTGTTGCAGTCTGCAAAGTATAGTATTATGCATAATTTTAAAAAAGACATTTATATTGATGTGTAAGTTTTATGTTATTTAATTCAGTGTACTGTACATCCACACAACAATTGCTAATTTGTAAAAACTTTTTCGTAATTTTCACACTTCATGCATGTCTCTGAAAAAAGTTTAAGTGGTACAGGAATTTGTTAACCAATATGGAGGGGAAAAAAGAGGAAGTCTGCGGTTTGGAAGTTTCCTCAGATCATCAGTTGTTTAATTGTCACAATTAATGGAGTTTATTCAACAATTATTTACAGTTATCTACAGCCCTTATATAAACCTACCAACCAAAAATAAAGTTACAATCTATTAACAGCATTTTTTTTTTATATTTGAATGTTTAAAATTGGGAACTGTTCAGGTCTTTCAGTCATATATATACATACTGTTCAAGTAAACAAACTTGTTCCCAGAAAAGTGTCTGTTTCACATTTAGTGAAACTATATATAATAATGATAATCTTAATTTAACATTGTGTATATAGTCAACAACAAACAAGCTCTGTAGAGCTTGAGTTGTCTAAAACTCACACTTGATTGCACACAGTAGTAATGATTGTGAGCGTTAGCTACCCAGGTATTATGGCTACCGATAGAGGAACCCTCAGTGTAAGGAAGGTGTGGAGGAAAAAGCTACTCTTGTGTTTGATGCAGACAGATCTAGAGTTCTTCATCTTAAATTAAAGAATTCTTAAGTTAAGCACTCGACAAAACCTCAAATCGCGATTTCTGTGTCCACATCACAAAAGAAGGAGCGATAGATTTTATAAGTCTTCTCTGTGCTTTCTTATGTTGGCTTTGATACCATCGTTTCATTTATAAGTTATCATAACTGAAAGGAACCACCAAGAAAGAGTTGTTGCAATTTTGTTGTTGTTTTGAACGTCAATGATGGGTTAAACATAAGCCATGATGCAAGGTAGCACATCTTTGATATGTGTTTGAACCGAGCTCTTCGACATAAAAAATAATGAAAATAAAAAGGAGAAAGGACATGGTATTGTATGCATATGTATTGAAAGGGAAATAAATTATCCTAGGGCTTTAATAAAGACAACATATCTATAACATTATTCAACAAAGAGAAATGCATACTCATAACTGAAATACACTTGTACATCATATTTTAAATACGAGGCTACATTAAAGCAGTATTACTCAATGCAAGTATGAAGTATTAGACAAGTTCAAACACGATCTGGGTTTTTTTCACCGAGATGGTTCATGTGAATTAAAGCAAACCACGCATATGAATATCCCAATAAAATGTGTTCTAATCCAACTGCATTGACTGCATCTAAAAAATAGTCATCAATATTTAGAAATACCCAACGATAGGAATATGTGAGCTTCCTTCCAGTCAGTTTCAAATGTTGTCCGCCATTCTTGTAAACAGATTTTGTATGTGTGGTAAGCGACATCAATTCAGGTTTTATGCGTCATATAATTTATGAACAATAAAAGTAAAAACTTCATAATACATAATGTTGAAAATGCTTTGAACGATTCGGAGGTTGTAAGGTTTAAAACAATTACAATTTGTTTGCAATGATTTAAGAATTTTAAAGGGAAATAACTCTGTCATAAAATAGCTAAAAATAGGTCTCACACCACTATCAAATCACGAGGAACATCAGTGAGTAATCAAAGATCCAAGAGAACGTGTAACTGTAATGCCGATGTCAAATTTGTCTGAAGTATAGAAAAACAAAAGATTCTTTTCATAGGTCCGGTAATGTCGATAGCTAAATCAGTTTACGAGAATCGTTGCTGACGATATGTTAACAATTTAGACTAGTTATAAGCTTAAATTAGATATCTAACCGATTATAACCGTAAACGTTGTAACAAGTGTCAGTCATCGACTCTTATCAAAAGGCGAAACTTACGGGAAGTAAAGACTGGGTAATTATATACACTCTAAAAGATTCGTATATGTATATATATATACAAGCTTCTATAGAAGGTCTTTGATTCTACCGTTAGACTGCCATTATTTGGTTTACAATTAACATCGATCTAACTGTCAATAATGATGACATTATTTTAAACGAAGACATTTTTTCATCAAAAAAAACTAAACAATTATGAAGCCTTAATGTGATAAGTGATGAAGCGTGCTCGTTGGCTTGCATGCTCAGCTGCCGTATCCGGTTAAAGCGGCCTCACTGCTGTAACGGCCCTAGTAAAAACGACCCACCCTATATACTGTATAGTACTGCAAGTACTACACGTACATAACTTGATATTATGTTGATAAAGTTACATGCGCTTTCAAGAAATAAAGAGATGTACATGTACAGATAAAACTATTATAAGTGTGTTTTCATTGATAGTTGACCCTCCTCAGTCTCAAATACCTTTGCAATGGCAGTGTTTTCTACTTCAGTATTTAATTAAATTTGAGAGAAAAGTGTTTTTTGTTTTTGTTTTTTTATTCAATAGCATTTAAAAAACCCAGGTATGATAAAAACTAACTATAACTTAGATATGGGATGATATACATCAATGTTCATATATATACGTCCCGTTGTACTTTACAACCGTATACAATTTATTTAAATTTATGTAAAAAAATAACTACACGTACATGTCATACACGTGTTTACATTACCTTTAACTTTATCTGTTACAGCACGGACTTAGATAATCTAATTCCGTGGTTACAGGTTGCTCACTTCATTTATAATCCAATCAAATTTTATAACACGATTTAATAAGTAGGGCCATTTTCACTAGTGCCGTTTTACAGTGATGACGTTTTGACCTAGATTCCTCAGCTGCTATGCTGCATTTTAATTATTTTTACTCATTCTGTCAGGACCTCTGAGATTCATATCGCACAACCAGTTCGCCACAAACAAAAAAAAAAAAACCATCACGCCCGTACTATTTCGGCCCCAAAAAGCTACAATGCCTCAAAATTGTCTGTTACTTATATTTCTGTATGCATATATAGATCTACTTCTTTTTCGGCATAATAAATTTTTCATTTTTCATGAACGTGTTCTGCCAAGTTACATTTTCTACTTTTCAAACTAACTTTATCAGTCATTTTCGTTCTTCATCGTGGAAAATTTGAAATAGCTGACATTCATGCTGATATCTCAATATTTTTAGGGTAAGAACAGTATTTTTGCTTCTCATCTGATATGAAGCCCGGGCCTAAATGCTTATTATTATGAAGGGCAGAAACTCCATTGGCACACCATTCGGCATATCTTTTACTTTTCACAAATTGACAGACGATCTGTTTCATCAACATGCAAACTGATAACTCATCGAAACAGTTCATATTTTAAAAAAAACACAAAAAAAACCCAACAACATTACATGAACAATATGTAAAAAAAATGCCAATAAGGTCCTTGGATAACGTGTTCCTCAACATTAATATTATATTGCAATTATTACCGCCACTTTCACTAGAGCAGATATCGTTCAATATAACAGTTAGGTTCGTAGCGGTTGGGTCGATAAAGAATTTTCGGTCGATACAGATTTAGGGTCGAAACGGATTTTGGGGCAAAAAATCATTTTGGTACGATATGGTTGTCATACTTGGGGCGAAATGAACCGAAAATTGGGGCGATATGATATAAAGTTGGGTCGAAATGGTCTGGAGCGAAACGTCTGTATTTTCATAAAGTCAGAGACGTATACATATTTTCGTCTCTGATAAAGAGTATATATTCATAAATGTGTTTAAATGTACACTGTAATTTTTCATTGCATTTGCACATTGGTTTGTATCGTAATTTTTGAGGTTATACTTGCTAGGTGTACAATAAAGCCAACTGTCTCTCTATGTTAGCCTTGCTTTATTCCATAAACAATTTTGCATTTAATTTATATGTACTGTAGTGTGCAGAAGACATTGCATGACCACCACGGAAAACACAGGCATTTGTTTCTGTCAATAAAAATAGTTATGAGAAGAAAAAAAACCACACCCATATTTTATGAGTAACGTTAGTCGGGGTGTGATTTTTTTCTCATGACTATTTTTATTGACATAAACAAATGCCTGTTATTGAAAGGGCGAAACATTGAACTTTTGACACAGGAAAGGTTAAAAAGTAACGTTATTTTATGAGTGATTCATTTTGGGTATTGATCCAGATATGTTTACACGTCAATAGGTCCATGTTGCTCTAACGCTCTCCAGGAAAGTCGGCAGTGGCGAATAGTTGCACATGATATCTACTTGACGCTAACACTACTTCCGGCCAATGGGAAAAGGTAACATTTGTATTTCTATGAAAGAAAGGTTTTATGAACAGTAGCCTTGCATAATAGCGTAAGGTTTCATTTAATATTTGTGTTTGGAGAGTTCAACTCAATTATAAAATGTTTCGTTTGATTTAAACCTGTACAAAATCGTCACATAAATGGCTTACATAAAGATCCCGTCATCGTGGTGACCTTGAGCTTTTGTGTTCCTCTCTCGGTTAGAAACCAGAAGATACGATTTGTTGCACATTTGTGTTTCCTAAACTATCATCAAACACACAGGTTCGGTAAATAATATTTGACAAGGTAAGTTGTGTATGGTACTAAGACTAGAGTAACACGTGCGCGTGTTTTTTTATCAGCGGAATTGGCCTGTTGGCTATGTCAAAATTTACTACTGTATACGTACATATATACTGTATAGGGCGAATGTAAACAAACACGCCAGTACTGGTCGTAATTATCTCGTGCACATCGATTATGTGTTGACCAAACAAGTGAGACGGTGAAATGAAATATTTTTATAGATTATAAAAACTCAATTTCTGGTGACTTTAATGAATGTCACTGTTGCAATTATTGGTACTTGCATCCTTTTATCCTCTCCATCTGATGGTCGGACAGTAATATTAACGATTTCTGTACTGAAAACACGAAATATTTCACTCCCTCCTGACACATGAACAACTAGCTGCGATAATGTAGCTTTCTGGTGACGAAAGATTTTTTTTTATATATTGCGTCGTTAGAGCTACTAAGCTGTCCTATGTCAAGTAATGGAGCAAAATCGAAGGTGGTAAAATTATATTTAAACATATACGTCAAAATTATATTTAAACATATACGTCAAAATTATATATATTAAAATATATATATGTCAAAATGTCTTAGGAAACTCGGGCTAGCTCGGAAGCATCTTCTGAAAGCCTAGGCCAAATCTGCATTATTGGGATGCTTACAGTGCCGTGCCAAAAGTATCTAGTCACAATGGCGTCGTGTTTACATTTTTGACAAAACCACAGCCTGTTTCAAAATTCTCTGACATGCAAATTTCTAACCCAATTGCAACAAAATTACACAATCACCTTCAATACTTCTTCAAGTGTCCTTTTAGCCTGATGACATTTAAAATCTGTTTAGGGATGGAATTGTACAGACTTTTTATGTAGGCAGGTGTGATCCCTTTACAAATCCTGTGAATTTCACGGAACAATTCATCTTTTGATTTTATGGCTGTAACACGGATTTGGAGTTTCCTTTTGATGTACAAACTAACATTTTCAATTATGTTTATATCAGGAGACTGTGCAGGCCAACTCATACAGTTAATACCATTCTGATCAATTTATTGCTGGGTGGACCTCGCACGATGTACAGGTGCATTATAACCCTGGAAAAAATAGCCACCTGCAGGAAAATTCCTCGCTATGACAGGCCAGAGATATTCTTTCAACACTCCCTGATACTTCACAGCATTAATATTACCATCACCAGCAGCAGTTAGTGTTCTGACACCTTCCGAACAAATGCAACGTTAACCCCAAATCATTACTTCAAACTTATTTTGTGCTGAGCGCGGCTGAACAAGAACAGGCCTCCATCCTTCGCTTCGCTTTCTCCAGACATAAACACAGTGGTCCTGTCCAATTTACTATCTTGCTTTAGTCCGAAAATATCACTTTTTATACGCCGGTCAAATTTGACGTAAGTATGCCGGCAATCTCCTCCTACATTTTTCGACCGATCTCTTTGAAACTTGGTTAGATTATAATCATGATATGAAGTTGTGTCTCCCTTAAGAGAATTTTGATTCGACAATTTTTCCAAAAGTTATTGCACTTTGTTCATTTCAGTATATGATATCTGGAGATCTCCTCCTACATTTTTTGACGGATTTCTTTGAAACTTTGTAGGCTAAATAATCATAATAAGTTGTTGTGTTTCCTTGAGAAGAATTATTTTGATTCAACAATTTTTGCAAAAGTTATTGCCCTTTTTTTATTTCAGTATTTGATTTTTGTCCGGCAATCTCCTCCTACATTTTTCAACGCATCTCTTTAAAACTTGGTATACATTATAATCATGATATGAACTTGAGTCTCCCATAAAAGAATTTTGATTCAACAGTTTTTACAAAAGTTATTGCCCTTTGTTCATTTCAGTATTTAATCTTTTGTCCGGAGATTTTCTCCTACATCTTGATCTTATTTCAATGAAAGAAAGTATATAACACTATATGGCAATCACAGGCATATATTGTTCCTCCCCGCGGTACTCTTGTTTCCAGTTATTTAAAAGTCCATTTTCTCTTTTCCCTGCACCATGCAAGTCTCTTGGCCCAGTTCACCTGCCGCACTACAATTTTTTTTTTAGAAATACGTTTGCTGTATCCATGACTGTTTAAATGGCGTTGAATTGTACCTTTAGATGTAGGACGAATATTTTTTGCATTAAATTTTGCTATGATATCATTTAATGAAAGCCTTTTGTGTCTGTTTGTTTTCACAAGCCGTTTTAATTTCCTATAGTCAGGGTCGTTCAGCGAACATGTTCTGCCACTTCGCTGTCCCGTTTTCCACTGACCAAGAAATTAAAAATTTGTGAACGATGTCTATTACATTAGATTTGGGTATTTTTAACTTTAAACTTAATTCGGTGAGAATATCCGCTCTGAAATAGTCCTATGATGATATTTTTCAAAACCCATTTTTAATGTTCTGCCTTTTCTTCCAATACTGATTTAGTCGCCTGGCGACCACAAAAACAATACATCACAATAGGTGAAAATAGCGCACATCATCACATAAGTGACGTTTTTTACCAAGGTGAAGGCCATTTATGCCATGACCTCAACTGAGAATGTAAACACGCCCGCCATTGTGAACGGATACTTTCGGCATTACTTTGTATCTTCAGTAACAAGAATGAAGCAGACATCATATTGAATAGTCACTATAGTTACTAATAAGTGATTTGAAATTCAAACTGAGTTTTTAGGAGAAACACTTTCATTTTACGATTTACCTGTTTGGTCAACACTTCAATCAATGTGCACAAGATACCTACGACCAGTACTGGCGTGTTTGTTTATATTCGCCCAATATACGTATAGTTAGTCATATTTGACTATATAGACAAATCTAGCCATATAGCCAAATTTGCCGCTGCTCCAGTACCTGTAACAGGTTAGGCCATACCTGCCAACCCTGGACATACTGAAAGAGGGTTATGACCCTCTTTTGAAAATTAAAAAGAGGGTCATAGTGCGTGACGACTTTTTCGCAACAAATACAGAAGAAAAATAGATATTTGATACATAGTTTAATATTTGATATGATATATGATTATGCACCAGGTACATTTCTACAGCAAGAACATCACTGACAACTCTTGTTGTATTCAGCTGTTGCAGACTTTGCAGAGGCTAATACACTGGCTGGTGGTTTGTTATCATCACAATAATCATTTTGATTGAATTTGCAACTGAGAAGTGCACACAAAGTGTCATTTTGGAGATCAGCTCTGAATTCAGTGTGTATTTTATTAACTACGGGAAAAGCTCTTTCCGAGTCGGCATTACTGTTTGGCACAACCCCACAATGCCACATGTGGATAATCACCTAAGTTTACAGTAACAGTATTTTATTACTGAATTAGTGAAATGGGGAATAAAATGAAATAAAATCATATTAGTTCTTTTAAACATTTAGGAACAAAAAACACATTATTCTTTAAACATAATCCAATAAATATGCTTAACGTAGCTAAGGCAATCAAAATCTGAATTGACTGCAATGTTGGAAATTTTGTCTCTCTTCATATATGGGAGTCATGACCCCATATGGAAGTCGTACCGTAAACATGACTGCATCAGTAGTAATACTCTATTTGGCCATGCAGGTATATAGAAACGGATAACCGAGATAACTTTCACATATGATCTATCATGACAAACTTGGCTAATTTTGTGAAAGAGATATTTTATTAGTGAGGATTCATTTTTTCAACAATTATGCATTATTTTGTTAATATTGTACTCATATGAGGGGGGAATTATATGCAATCTCACAGATTGGACACTTGATTTGGCTCCATTAGTTGGCATAGGTCAGTTCTAAGCTCTCACGATGTAATAAATGAAATTGTCTCATTGATAGAAGCCATGTTATCGCAGCTACCATCCAGCCACCGAGTGAGTGACTACAACATATTTGGCTCATAGGTGGTGTTATGTGTTACAGTTCGGTTGTTTTCATTTAAGTGTAATATATTTTTTTGATATATATATATATGCAAGGGCTGAATATTGATTCCACCTTTAAAAGCCCATTATTAGAGTATTGTAGCCAATTATGTAGGGTACATTGTGACAAAATTCCAAGTTCATCGGGTCAAAGGTCACAGTAGTGGTGTTTGTCTTTTCCATTGATCTGTTGGTACGACATCTGAGGTTAGACCTTTTCATGACCCTTGATAATTTAGCCCCTACATGGGCATCACACAGCCGGAATGCGAAGGTATTAGTTAGCCCATAGGCGACAGTTCTAGTTTCTGCTGTTTTCTCCTGAAATTACACAAAAATAATCATGCATTTCATGGATGATATTTTTCCACAGGTTCCTGTGGAAAGGTAGAAAATCACTGGTTGTACCCTTGCAGTGTACAATAGGGGCTCACAAGACCTAGATTAAATAGCATTATGTAAATATGTGTAATGGCTGCCAGAAGGATAACACAATGTGAATTGTCAAGATTCCATCCCTGACCTGATAACATATTATTTCTGTTTTGGCAGATCAATGGCCGTGGGCAGTGTAGTGAGGACATTCAGACCATACTTGAGAACTGTTTTGTACCCCACATTTGTCCTGTCCTTCATCTTCTGGGATCTGAATAAGACCAGAATCTTCAAAGCAAAAAAGAGAGCAGAAGCTGAAAGAAGAAACAATTAATACCTATTAGTGTGATCAACACCTTACCAAACAAGGTATATAGGTCTACAGTGATGTGTGGTTATATTATCCTAATATATATTTCAACCTTTTATCAATGTTCTTCGTAACCCTTGTTACAAATAATATTTTTAAGGTTTCAATGTTTCAAATAATCCTAGCCGTTTGCAGAGTACAGTTGCCTTCAGGAATCGTTCATCACAATTTTGTTTGAAGATATGTTTGACTTGTGATACAAATTCAGATTGAGAGCATTTATATTCATGTATATCATTCAGAATAGGAGGAACCATGAACTCTATGAAATTTTATCAAGATTGCTAAAGTAGTGCAAGAATATAGCCCACCATCACCATAATGTTGGCTATTCAAATCGCCCTTTCTCCGTGGACCGTCCGTCCTTAAAAAATTCTTGTTATCACTATTTCTCAGGAAGTACCAAAGTGATCTTTCTCAAATTTTATATGAAGGTTCTTCTTGGTCCCCTAGTTGTGCATGTTTACTTTAGAGACTGATCAGATAAACAATGACGGACAGGAAGCCATCTTTGATTTTGACAGTGTAGGTTTGTTATTGCTATTTCTCAGGAAGTACTGGAGGGATCTTTCACAAATTTCATATGTAGGTTCCCTTGGTCACTAGTTGTGCATGTTTACTTTTGGGACTGATCAGATAAACAAAATGGCCAACAGACAGCCATCATGGACTTTGACAGTAAAGGTTTGTTATCGCTATGCAGGTTTGATTTTGAGACTGATCAGATAAACAAAATGACAGCCATCTTGGATTGTGACATTAAAGGTTTGTTCATGCTATTTTCCAGGAAGTATTGAAGGGAACTTTCTCAGATTGGTTATGTAGGTTCCTCACTGTCCTTTATTGTTCATGTTTACTTTTGAGACTGATCAAATAAACAAAATGGCTGACGGTGACAGGCGACCAATTTTGATTTTTAGGTCACCTGAGACAAAGTCTCAAGTGACCTATTGCGATCGCCTTTTGTCTGTCGTCGTCCGTCGTGCGTCCGTAAACAATTTACATTTTCGACTTCTTCTCCAAAACCCCTGAACCAATTTCAATGAAATTTTGCAGGGATCTTCCATGGACAAAGGTCAACAAAAATAGTGGCTGGTTTAGTCCCAAGCCCCTAGGGGCCTGAGGGGTGGGGCCAAAAAGGGTCAAATTGACTAAAATTTCAAAAATCTTTTTCTCCAAACCCCTGAACCAATTTCAATGAAATTTTGCAGGAACCTTCCATGGACAAAGGTCAACAACAATAGTGTCCGGTTTAGTCCCAAGCCCCCAGGGGCCTGAGGGGCGGGGTCAAATTGACTAAAATTTCAAAAATCTTCTTCTCAAGACCCAGATATAGTAGAATCAAATACTCTTCATATATGGAAGGGTCTTAAGGTCTTCACCGAAATTATGAATTTCATGACCCTGGGGTCTCACGTTTCCCCCTGGGGAGGGGGTAAACTTTACTATAGTTTATATAGGGAAATCACATTTTGGACCAACATTTGTTTAATTTCCATTGGAAGTAATTCAATTTGGGTTAGCATTATCAGTATTAGGTAGCAGTTTGATAGTATGCACCTATGAGCCCTGACTGACCCCCAGGGGCTGATGGGTGGGGCCAAAAAGGGTTGAATTGACTGAAATTTCAAAAATCTTCTTCTCAAGACCCAGATATGGTAGAATCAAATACTCTTCATAGATGGAAGGGTCTTAAGGTTTATGACCCTAGGGTCTCACGTTTACCCCCTGGGGAAGGAGGGGGGGCAAAATTTATTATGGTTTATAATGGCAAATGATACTTTGAATATTACATGTTAATAACTTGATTGGAATTATAACCTTGAGTTGACAGTTTGATAATTTGAAAATTTTGAGCCAGCCCTACCCCCAAGGGCTGTAGGGTGGGGCTCAAAGGAGTCAGTGTGCTAAAATTTCTTCATTTTCCTTGTTTAGAATCAGAGATGCTAGTTTCAAATACTTTTTGGTCTGAAATCTGTATGCTAGATATTGAATAAGGTGGTTTTATTGTTTTTGGTCACTTTGAATAATATTTCTGTTCATGTTAAAAACAAAATCAACTCTCTGTATAAATATATCAGGTGACCGTTGCGGCCCATGGGCCTCTTGTTAACATTGAAGGTTTGTTAATGATATTTTTCAGGAAGTTCGTAAGGGATCTTTTTCAAATTTGATATGAAGGTTCCCCTTGATCCCTAGTTGTGCATGTTTTATTTTGTTATGCTTTTTTCCCCCTTTTTAGATGACTGCCGGCACGGTTACAAAAGCCCGCAAGGTAATGCTGAACCCACGATTCTTCAAGTACTACTTACAACTGGGAGGTGTGTCATGCCTGTTCCTAATCGGGGGATGGATGGACAACTTACTGACTCATAGAGAGTCCTCCATGTTCATGAACAAGTCTGGATGTTTCCCACCTCGAGATCTGGGACCTGGTAACAAAAGATGGTGATTGATATCCTGGAGCCACACAATAACCTCAGTGGTTATTTGTGTGTGAAAAAGTGTTTTCAGTCTTTTTTTGTTGTTGTACAGAATAACTGGAGTTTTCATAAGCTTATTGAGTAAGACATCAATTTATTTCAACTTTTTACAGAGGACTTGACCCTGGTGACTGGAATATTGACAACATTTCAAACAACACTAGAGGTAACAGCCGACTACTTTGTCTACTGAGCACATTGCAAGTTGCCTGTAATGGTGGTAGTGTTTGTTTCTGGAATAATAAAGACGTTTTGAAAAGGAAATCAGGTTTTATCTTTTTTTTATGTTGCACAGTCACTTTTAAAACTTCTGCAGGACCACAACAGATTATATTTGTCCAATGTTAGGGACTGTAACAGACAGCTTAAACAGTTATTAAGTATGGTAATTACTTATACTGTGTCGCTTAAACAGTTATTAAATATGGTAATTACTTATACTGTGTCACATAACCAGTTAGAATGTATGGTAATTTTCTATACTACATTTGTATTTCTCCTGGAGTAGCCATATTTGGTGAACAAGGACATCTTTGGATGGCGGAGTGCAGAGTGCAAGAATAAGGTCACTGTTACCTATGACTTGACCTCGGGTCACCTTTGACCTTTTTTTTCAAGATTGTCTGGTGCATATCTTCTATACTTTTACACCTGTAGTATCCAGATTTGGTGTACAAGGACATCTTGGGATGGCGGGGTGTAAGAAGTAGGATACTATGACTTGATCTTTGACTTTTACTATTGAATTTTTTAGTCCATGGCATGTCTCCTTTACTTTTTCACCTGGAGTATTCAGATTTGGTGTACAAGGACATCTTGGAATGGCGGAGGGCAGGAATAAGGTCACTATGACCTCATTGTGACCTATGCTTCCTGACATAAGTGTACTGTTTGTTAAATATAGAAATCGTTACCGGTGGGGACTATGGATTGCCTTGCAATACTTTGCCTTGTTACTTATACTGTGTCGCTTAAACAGTTAGAATATATACCAATTACTTATACTGTGTAAATTGTTCTCTGGGTCGCAGGTTTGAGGCCTACGTGGGGAGTCGCCAGGGACTGGCCATATGTCGTGTTTTTTCTCGGGGGGAACTCGGGCTTTCCTTCACTCCTACTAAATGACCATAGCTGCTAATAGGATGTAAAACACAAAGTCTTCTTCCTGTATGTTTATTGTTCATAGTGAAATTAAATGGAGCTTTAATTTGATCAAGTAATGCTTCAATAAAAGATGATATCAGTGGCTTTATTTCTAAGAAGATTTCTGCCCGTTTCAAATTTACAATACCATGTAACACAGAGTGTATTGTGAATATAGCTAAGAATATATATTTCTCTCACCCTTCACTGACGTATCTCCCATTTCAGCTAGAAAAGATCGTCTCGTCACCCCGTAGGAGGAGATAGCTACCTCACGCAGAATGGTGCGGTAAGTTATAACAATAGTATGACATCACGTCATCAATGCAATGAGGTCATGTGGCAACAGTAGCAGACCATGGAAGACAACTCTGGATTATTCAATCAACGATTATATTTCACGCAATCACCGCTTGTATTTGTGACTGAAACAGGACAGGAGAAAAAAAATCAACCCTCAAACTTGAGGATAAGTCAGAGAAATTTTAAACCCTCGGGTAAGACAAGAATATCATCCCTCCGGTTGGAGATTAATAGAATCTTCCCCTACCCTGAGGGTGTGACAGAGAAATCTCCAACCTGAGGGGTGATGTTTTTTGGTTGGAGATTTCTGTTACACCGTTAAGGTAGGGGATGATTATTTTTCTTCCATCCTATTATTTTAGTCACAACTCCACTGACAGTAGTGTAAACAAAAACACATGAGGGGTATGAATATCGTCATTTACTTTTGATGACGTCACAATTACCGGCGACGCGTTTCTATGACGTCGCAATTGAACACATGCTAATCGGCACAAGGCTTTCTCCCCCTAGGGGGGGGGGGGGGGGGGGGGGTGACAAGCTTGTGAAGGGTGGGAGAATAATAGAATTTCCCCCTCCCTCCAGGGGGTGACCGAGAAATCCCCAACCCGAGGGGTGATGTTTTTTGGTTAGACAAACAGAAAATCCCCCCGAGGGTTGGGATTTCTCTGTTACACCCTCAAGGTAGGGGATGATTATTTTCTCCCATCCTATTATTTCAGTCACAGCTCCACCGACAGTAGTCTGCCATGTTTGTAAACAAAAACACATGGGGGGTATGCATATCGTCATTCACTTTTGATGACGTCACAACACGTGCTAATCAGCACCAGGCTATCTCCCCCTAGGGGTAGACAAGCTGATATTTCCCGGATAATGTGAAGGGTGGGAGATTTCTCTTTCACACCCTTAAGGTAGGGGAAGATTTTATTTGTAATAATAAACTGTACTCAGATAGCCCTTTCAGTTACGATAGATATTTGACTAGAAATATGGACCAAATGCCAGGTTTATACCTGTCCTTTGAAGGTAACACAGGACCATCACGTGACATCAAAGCTGGTGTGCTGCCATGTGATTCTTCTGATGTACAACAAAGGTCTAATTATATTATCTGCTAGGTGACCTATCCAGAGCCTTCAATTTTGTCATGACATATTCCAGGGGTGCAGAGAATGTGAGTGTAGCCTCTGGAACTTTGATTTAGGTTATTATAATCTACACCAGCATTGCAGTGACCTTATGTTTTCTGAACCCTTGATTTGACCTTTAGAGCATGTACATCTTATCACTATACCTACATTTATTATGTTTTATAAAATATTCCTGAATAGTTCAGTATAATTGTGGTTATTATGTACTTGGAATACAAACTAGTGTGTGATTCTGCTCAGATTTATGAATGTGCATCATCGTCTTCAACAGTTCAGTAATGCAATCTTGACAGGATATTTGACCTCTTGCTGTGACCTTTACATTACGGATACCAGTGTATTTGACAGTCTTGACATAGCTCACATACCTTATTATACTGGTGATAAGCCCATTCCCCTTTCTTCTAGTTTGTTGGCGCCGGTAAAAATTATATTTTTTATTGTTGTTCGTTGTGCAGTACATTTTAAGCTAACCAGCAGAGTGCATCAGAATACTTCCTGTTGATTAAAGGGTTGGGACTTTGAATCCCTTCAGCGCTCTAGATCTATCGACACAGAATAAAAAAAATGCTAGTGTTTGCAACATCAAAGAGAAATGTGGCTGGCTTGCGACATCTGACCAACGAAAACTTCACAAGACTGGCAGCCACTTGCGACTGCATATAGGCAAGTATAATGTAACACTTATTGGTGGGAGGTATTCTCAACACCATAATATATACACATGGATTAATGAGCAAAGCAAACCAAGCATGTAATTTGACCTTTGACATCTTGCTGCTTCTTGACCATGAAGGTACAAATCTGCATGCAGTATGTGACAATCTTGTCATGTTCAATACACCTATAAAGTTATTAATCAGAAACCAAATGTATAATATTGGCATTGTTAGAAAATCTGAATGTGAATGCTTCAGCAATGCTTGGTTCTTCATTTCAAAGTTATATTGAATTGATACAAAGTTTCCAGCACTGAATGGGGGTTTTCTGAGAGCCTCGGAGGTCAAATAATAAAAAGTAAAAATTTATTAAGAATATTATGTCATCCAAAAGTTAATAGCAACTCAATGGTGGAATAGATATGTAGAAATGTATGAGAAAATTGTATTTACTTTGACCTAGTTTTCTTTGATTGAACTAGGAACCATGATAAAATAAAGAAACAAAATAATTGTAACAAAAACAAACTGTCATTTTAAAGCATTTAATTAAAATGTCAATACAATAGTGAGAAGCACTTGTATTCTCAACTGCTAAAACAATAATATTGTTAGCAGTAGGGTTGTGAATGGAACATGTCAATGAGCTGAAATTCATCAAATGATGGCTCAATACCTTTAGAATGCTTCATTCACAAATCATTTTCCTGACATGATACATCCAATACATGCAGGATTGTAAAAAATGAGATGTTCAAAAATGAATTCAGAACCAAATATTTCATTGATTTAACAGTAGACTCCTCTATGTAACCTTCCTTGGGGTACAAAAATGATCTTTGTACACAACACACATGCCAAACTTCAGTGTAACTACAATATTTTGTAAATGATATGAATGTGACTTTAGTATTCATAAATAGGTATATGAAATACGAGACAATAGTCCAGATTATGTAACATAAGCATGTAAAATCAAAACCAAACGTGACACTATTACAGCTAAATTAGCTGTTTAACGAGACCTGCTTGCACTGGTATTCAACATGGACGGGTTATCTTTATAATCATAATGGACGGTTTGAATGTTATAATGATCTGAATGAGCCTTTATGAGCGGAATGTTTTCATGCATGAGGAGATATGTTCTAAAAATACCTGGGTACATTATAACCTACCTACCTGTACAGTTATCTAAAATCAATGTAGTATAACAACCCAGGTATAATCTACTTACTGTACAGGTATCTAAAATCAATGTAGTGTAACAACCCAGGTGTATCTACTTACCTGTACAGGTATCTAAAATCAATGTAGTGTAACAACCCAGGTATAATCTACTTACCTGTACAGGTATCTTAAATTAATGTAGTATAACAACCCAGGTATAATCTACTTACTGTACAGGTATCTAAAATCAATGTAGTGTAACAACCCAGGTATAATCTACTTACTGTACAGGTATCTAAAATCAATGTAGTGTAACAACCCGGGTATATCTACTTACCTGTACAGGTATCTAAAATCAATGTAGTGTAACAACCCAGGTATAATCTACTTACTGTACAGGTATCTAAAATCAATGTAGTGTAACAACCTGGGTATATCTACTTACCTGTACAGGTATCTTAAATCAATGTAGTGTAACAACCCAGGTATAATCTACTTACTGTACAGGTATCTAAAATCAATGTAGTGTAACAACCTGGGTATATCTACTTACCTGTACAGGTATCTAAAATCAATGTAGTGTAACAACCCAGGTATAATCTACTTACTGTACAGGCATCTAAAATCAATGTAGTGTAACAACCCAGGTGTATCTACTTACCTGTACATGTATCTTAAATCAAGGTATTTTAACCAAACTTGATCAGTATTGTTGAAGGTGTAGCCTGTACAGTAGTAATTAACACCATAAGCCTCTCATTCTCCTCAAGGCTGTGTCATAACAATACAACCATAGAAGAGATAATATAACACTTCCTTATATTATATATAACACTTACTATACCCATATGAATTGTAAAAAATATGGAATGACCAAGTTTAAATAAGTTGAAAATAAATACATTGCAGGTAACAGTACATGTTGTTCTTTGATACAGAAACTAGCACTACCTGATGGTACTATACCTACTCTCCTACACACACAGCCCCATACAATCCACCAGCCAGTACTTACTGTATCCCCACACTCCCTTATTCAATGATATGCAAACAAGCATTACTTAACTGTACTATATCATCTCCCACCCTCACACAATACATCGTACAACATACCAACAAGTACTTTATATTTCTGCTAGTAAACAGCAGAATGTACACTAGGAAATTTTGTCCATTGATATCTTCTCCCTTCATTGACGTCCTTAATTGACATCAGCTGTTAATGGGATATATCTGATACAAAATAAAACCAAACCCATTAAATGGTAACAGTCGTCCTTATATTAGTACTAACACTGTATCATTTAAGAGGATCTTACACGAGTGTTCATGTAATATTAAATTTGTTAAATGAGTTTATTAATTTCATATGAAATTTATAAACTAGTTTAATAATTTTCAACATTACATGAAAACTCATTTTAGATCCTCTATTTACTGGGTTTATACTGTGGTATTTAAGTATCTAATTATTTTAAACATATACCAATCCTGTATCCCAATTATGTCACCTCATTATTGTACATGTACATAAAATAATGTATAACAACAGTTAGTGAAATCTGACTTGACAGACACCAATAAGGACATGGATCATGCAATACCTGTACATGTGATCCCAGCAGCATTGACACACATACGGTGAATATCAGGCTGAACAAGGTCAGTAACTCACTGATGTATATTGAGTTTTGATCTACTAACATCCAGAGGTAAACATTATAATAGAAAGTTATAAATAGTAAAAAAAAAACAAGTAACAAATGGTATGTACATATTTAAAAGATATTTTTTACAGTAAAATTGTCTGACCAACATTTAATACTGACAACGGAATCTCACTACAAAGGACAAAAATCTGACCTGCAAGATACCTTCCTGCTGTATTTGATCATTGTGATATAAATCCAGTTTCCTAACTAAATATATGTAACTATCAATCTGACTGCATTTTAACAGAGTCAAACTTTACAGTATAACATTGCTGTCTCAACAATAATACAGTATAACATTACTAATAACAACTATTATTATCTAAAGAACAGTAAGTTAGAGTTAGTGTTTTTTGCTCGTGGTCGTATGTCATCCTCGATGCTTCGTATTTCCATTGCTCTAGCTTTTGCCTTGAAAAGTTTTTCCTTGAGTTCCCTTCGTTTTGCCAGCTCATTCAAATACAAGTCAGTATAATCACCCTCCAGGTCAGTAAACGTGGAAAAGTAGGTGTCTGTAGAAGGCACAGTGTCTTTCTTTCGACAATTCTCCTTTCCGTACATGTCAAATGTGACTTTTTTCTTTGGTGTATCTGGGTCCTTCTTCCTCTTGGACAGACATGAGGACCTGCTCTCCAGCGACATGTCTGAAAGTACACAACAAGGTGAAGTATATAGTCCTGTTAGTAAGCACTAACAGGACCTGAGTCGGCAAACATTGATGAGGTCAAGCAAGTAAACACAGACAAAAATAAGTCCGTCGATAATGTCAAAATCAAGTAAGTAAACATTGAAAATGTCAAGAAAATAAACATTGCCAAGGTCATGTTAATTAGTTAACACTGACCAGGTTGTTGAAGTATGTTGATGTACTGTAATTAAACATGACAAGGTTGTATACAAGAAGGAAACAAGAATGATTTTGTAGGTCTCCATAAGGAAGCCATTCATAAAGTCTAAATATATACTTCACAAGATTTTGTGCAACATGTAGTGTTCAAAAGTCATAGACCACAATAGAAAGTGCATTATCAGTAGCAGTATCGAGTAGTTACTCCGTCACAGATAGTGTACATAGACCAGTAGTGATATCTAGTAGTGACTGACACATATATGTATAGTGTAGATCTAGACCAGTAGCGGTATCTAGTAGTGACTGACACATATAGGTATAGTGTAGACAGTAGTGGTATATAGTAGTGACTGACACATAAAGGTATAGTATAGACCAGTAGTGATATCTAGTAGTGACTGACACATATATGTATAGTGTAGACCAGTAGTGGTATCTAGTAGTGACTCACACATATATGTATAGTGTAGACCAGTAGTGGTATCTAATAGTGACTCACACATATAGGTATAGTGTAGACCAGTAGTGGGATCTAGTAGTGACTCACGCATATAGGTATAGTGTACATAAACCAGTAGTGGTATCTAGTATTGACTCACACATATAGGTATAGTGTAGACCAGTAGATGTATCTAGTAGTGACTCACACATATAGGTATAGTGCACATAAACCAGTAGTGGTATCTAGTATTGACTCACATATAGGTATAGTGTACCTAAACCAGTAGTGGTATCTAGTATTGACTCACATATAGGTATAGTGTACCTAAACCAGTAGTGGTATCTAGTATTGACTCACACATATAGGTATAGTGTAGACCAGTAGAGGGATCTAGTAGTGACTCACACATATAGGTATAGTGTAGACAGTAGTGGTATATAGTAGTGACTGACACATAAAGGTATAGTATAGACCAGTAGTGATATCTAGTAGTGACTGACACATATATGTATAGTGTAGATCTAGACCAGTAGCGGTACCTAGTAGTGACTGACACATATAGGTATAGTGTAGTCAGTAGTGGTATATAGTAGTGACTGACACATAAAGGTATAGTATAGACCAGTAGTGATATCTAGTAGTGACTGACACATATATGTATAGTGTAGATCTAGACCAGTAGTGGTATCTAGTAGTGACTGACACATATAGGTATAGTGTAGACAGTAGTGCTATATAGTAGTGACTGACACATAAAGGTATAGTATAGACCAGTAGTGATATCTAGTAGTGACTGACACATATATGTATAGTGTAGATCTAGACCAGTAGCGGCATCTAGTAGTGACTGACACATATAGGTATAGTGTAGACAGTAGTGCTATATAGTAGTGACTGACACATAAAGGTATAGTATAGACCAGTAGTGATATCTAGTAGTGACTGACACATATATGCATAGTGTAGACCAGTAGTGGTATCTAGTAGTGACACAGACACAGGTTGACAGTAGTGTTATCTAGTAGTGACACAGATACAGGTAGACAGTAGTGTTTTCTAGTAGTGACACAGACACAGGTAGACAGTAGTGGTATCTAGTAGTGACACAGTAGTACAGATGTACTGTCTAATAGTGTGGACTTGTAGTGTATAGACCAGTAATTATATATGATTGTGCCTAGTCATGGCTCAGTTTTCAGTGAGGAGAGAAAGCAATGCTTCATGTATTGACCTAAGATATTAACACACAAGCAAAATTATATCAAATAACAATTCATGCTTTTATTACAAATATAGCAAATTAAACAAATTAATACAAAGCATTGTAAAACATATGTACAGCATCAATTCGTTTATGCTGCGTAGTTATGTAAAGGATTCAAAAAATAAAGTGGACATAACACGATTCAAATTACAATAGATGGGACAAAAACAATTGAGACAAGAGGTCTGATGTATAAGCTAAATTACAGTTTAAACCTTGTTATTCAGTCATCATTTACCCCGGCAAACTAATAGTATTGTGAATGAAGGGATTTGACAATAACTCGAGATGTTTCAACAACTGCCAAGGAAATAAGAAGGATTGCATCTCCATCAACTTAGCCCTAAGTGAGGCAGACAAAGCAAGAGGCGAGATTACTGGTAAACTGTATAGCTTTGTTGCTGAGTATTTCACACATCCCTAGGTACAAACCAGACACCATGACAACTAAGTATTCAGTCTTGGTTACATAATATTTATCTCAACAAACCAGACACCATGACAACTAGGTATTCAGTCTTGGTTACATAATATTTATCTCATCAAACCAGACACCATGACAACTAGGTATTCAGTCTTGGTTACATAATATTTATCTCATCAAACCAGACACCAACAAGGCCAGTTGTTTTGGTCATAAATAGATGATAATTAATATATGTTTATATTATATTACAGTATAATAAAGTGACAATGAATACACATATAACTAACTTGCACTTTGTACAAACTAACTTACCAAATTATACCAGATTATTACCAGGGTATGTTATCTTGTAACAAGTGTTTTTGGTTTACTGTTTCAGAACAAGTGATGGGCGATGGGAAGTCTGGTTTAAACAGAAATCTGAATAAAGCCTGGTAGGTTTAAACAGGTTAAGCAGTAGAGTAAAGGTAGAGCAAGGAGGCAGTATAGATAAGTACCATATAAAGGTAGAGTAAAGGTAGAGCAAGGAGGCAGTATAGAGAAGTACCATATACAGGTAAGTCCTTTGTAACAGGATCAGAAATCTCTACAACCAAACAGTCAAGCAAAATAAAGGTATATAGGCAAGTTTCTACAACTAGACTAGCATAATGGCAATTCACATATCTCTACAACAAGGCCATCAAGTTGGAGACTAATTAATAGGGGTGACTTAAATCTGGCACATTGTATTATAGTATAGATATCAAACAAAGGTTATATTGCACAAAAACATGTATATTTTTTTTTTCAAATCCACAAATTTCACAAAAAAATATCAATGAAAAACATTTTTTATATGGAAACATTTTTTCCCTGATCTTTTTAATCTTTGGTCTTGTAGAATTAAATGAACAATTACAAAATAATATATTGCATGCAGGACATTTGAAATGTACATTAGAAGTTTTTAATTATAAATGTCATATCAAATAGTCATAACATTCCTAAAGGGGGATGCCATCAGTGAATGTAGTTTAATAGTACAGTATAACTGAATATATGACAGGAAGACAGTAATTACTACAACAAAATAAGAACGACCGGTATGAACACACAGTGACACCAACTGTGAGAAAAACGAAAATGTCCAATGCCAAAATAATAGTTTTTCATTGCAAATTGGTGTTTTATATTATTGTCTGTGTAGCTGTACAGACCAATAGGAATTACCCCATGATCTGTTGATTAAGTAGAAAAGCACATTAAATACAGATAGGCAGTGATAGACCACTTCTATAAAACTGCTGTGTTTTATCAGTGATGACTGCAGGCTTATATTGAGGTATGTTACAAATATTAATTGCATCTTTTTTCTAATAACATTTTATACAAAATGAACCTGAATTAGTATGTACTGCATTTTGGTGTAATATGATAATACAATGCTACACTACACACTGACAAAAGCACGCTCTACAACAATGTTAATGCAAGCTGTAAACACATAGACAATCTAATTGTCGCAAACGGTTACTACATGTACACAATTACTTATTGTGATATCAATCATAATACCACTTAAACAGATAAATGTAATTGTATAATTCCCATCTCTATCATAAATAAATTATATGTATGGATTATAAGGATCGGTTGAGAGGTTAAACTACACAATTTGCACCAGACAACCAGGGTGGTTCCTGATTTGATTATGGAATTACCAGAGATATTTTCTCTACCCCATCATTAAGTACGGTTGATTAAGAATGCCACAGAGGATTTGGCTACCACCACTTGAGGACACTTACTTCACTATAAAGCCCCTAGGTTACAGCCACTACAGGGGAGTTAGCTTCAATGACACTTACTTCGCTATACAGTCCATAGGCTACAGCCACTACAGGGGAGTTAGCTTCAATGACACTTTCTGGTACTTCTCTGTAAAGTTGGTAGGCTACAGAGGATGCTTACTTCCCAAGTAATAATAAGATCAGGCTGCTACAGAGGGCACTTACTTTGTTGTGAGTGTATAGTAATTCAGCTATTACAGCTAGTGAGGAGTAGGTCACAACAGAGGGTGCTAACTTCAGTGTAAACTAGAGTAAGTTATGGCCGCTACACAGAACACTTCCTCACTGTAGTTGTTACTACTAGAGAAGATGCTTACTGTACTGTTAAGCACAGTAAGCTTTGGCCTCCTATAGAGAAGGCTTACTTCATAAGTTGGAATAGGCTATGGCCACCACAGGGTACATTTACTTCTGAGTAGGTACAACTTATGAGCACAATAAATTAAAATATAGTTCTAGCAAAGACTTGCTTTAAGCAGCTTCACAAGTGACTTGATTGATTGAGCAGAAAATGCAAGCAAAAAATCAAAAAATCAAGCTACACATGTACAGTCCTACTCATTTGGAATATCACTACCAAGACATTAATTAAAAGCACACTGGACACAAGTGAGTATCTCTAGTATTACACACAAGCTGGCACAGCAGTGGTAGTAAAACAGCAACACACAGTACTACACAAACAGACTACAGGCTAGTCAGGAAAATGGCAATCACTTATATTACCCACAAACACTCAAGTGTATTCAGTAGGAATTCAGGTAAAGGATAAATAATAATATCACGAAATTCCAAGATTTTGAATTATAAACCAGTTTTTCAAAAATTCCTAGAGTCTAAGACTACAAATTATAAGTCAAAACAATTACTGAACCACATAGAAAATATTTAAATCTTCAAATTGTGCGTTTAATATGAGTGATTACCATTAAGTAAGTATGCAGTTTGATGGAAAAAGCAGTAGCACTCAGTCACACAAGTCTAAGTGTCCTTCCGGTTACACACAGGGTCCAGCTGACTGAGAGGGGTGGCATCCCTCCAGTTACACCTGGGGTCCAATTGATTGAGAGGGGTGCGCAATCGATTGACTTTCATTTTTTGCGGGGGAATTTTTGGATACAAAAAGCCTTTGGTAGGGTATATAGGGGAGATAGGGACTGGGCTTTCCTGCCTACCTGCATCCCCTGCTTGAAACACATCTCTGTCTACACTGCCTTTCCGACCGAATTCCCTTATCAGCATCTCTGCCCTGTAAAATAAATTTGCCTCCGTAAGATATTCATAGCATATGATAAAATTCTCAGTTAAACAGATAATGAAATCATCTTTTATCAATTTCAAGTTAATTCGAAAAATTTAATGTATTCCCGGACATGCTCATGGTCATTAGGAAAGTGGATTTTTACACCCTAGTTTAAATGGTATATTTGCCTGAATGGATACACAACACTTTGGTCCATGTGCGATTACCTTTTCAATTTTTCTTCCAGAAGCTTTTCTTTAAGACAAATACGATTTTCTCTGTCTGAAATGAAAGAAAGAACTCTATTTAGGTTACATCTGGTAATAATATATATTTTTTAGTGGAAGAAAAAAGGTGTGTAAATTACACAAATTTTTACAGTAACATTACTACTTTCATTATTTGAAACTTTTTAAGCTCCTGATTTTATAGCCATTATCTTGTCATTTGAATAGTTATCAAACAGCAGCGTACCATCAAGTTCTCTCTCCCTTGAGTCCAGCTTCTGTTCTCGGGTTCGCAGCTCCTCCTCCCAATCCGTATGTGACCTTGACTCTGGGCTGGACAACCTTTGACGGGAGTCACGACGACCCTCGTCACGTTGATTGAAATCTAGGCCCAAACTTGTCCGTTTCTTCATCACCAATGGTTCATTCAGTACTTCATCAATAGTCGGCCTTTTGTGAACCTTGTTAACAAAGTAACCAAGTAAGATAATAGACAACACACTGTAACCTATCAGAACTGAAGGACACACAGAAAAATTAGTGCTGAAAGAAAAGAAATTAAAATTCAAGTCCACATTATAGCATTAATTCTCACACTGTAGTGTCTATTGAAGGAATAGAAAGAAATTCAAAAACTTATGAACTCGTGATAGTGTATATTTACCTCTACTCTGATGATTTTTGCTACGACATTGTTGAGACCATCAGTATATTTGTTTGGAATCCGCGCGAAGTCACCAACTCTTATCTTTTTATTTAGTTCATGTTGATTGGATGCTGTGAAAGGAGGTCGGAGGGCACAGAGTTCGTACAGGATACAGCCCATGGACCAGATGTCCGACTTCTCATTGTATGACATATTGTTTACCAGCTCCTGCAAACATCAGCAGTTTCATTATACACTGATCTTTGGTAAAATCTTTCACTATTGATAAAGATCAGAAAAATAAAGGTGGGCAAACAAAGTGGAGACATACATTTTTGGCCTAGTGCAACTTACTGGTGACATGTAATATGGTGTTCCAACATAGGTTTTAGCAAAGCTTGTTTCATGGTGTAGTACTCGGGCAAGACCAAAATCACCCAGCTTGACATTTTCATCTGAGTCGAGGAAGATGTTTGCAGGTTTCAAGTCACGGTGCAGCACAGCCTTCCCGTTCTTGCGTCGATGACATTCCTGTAAGGCCTGTGTGATCTGTACTAAAATCTTCCACACAAAGTCCTCTTCCATATATACTCTGAAATAGGAACATCAGGTATCAGGTTCATAACTCTTGTTACTAACTTACGAATCAACTTCCTTACTTTTTTCATAATTCCTAATACAACTTAACTTAATTTCTTGAAGTTTTGTTTATAATGTGTCACATATAACAAGCTCACATTCAACCATTTCCCTTTAAATTGACAAAATACGGGTGCCAGCTGATATCGAAACCTCCCTGAACACTACCAGTGTAATTGAATCAAATAGAGCCCGAATGATCAATACAATCAGTTTTTCACCCTGTCTGGTAATTAAAGTTGTCATAAAGTTGATACTTACTTAGTCACACAAGTTTCATTGTTCATTATTTAAATAGTTTATTTGATAAACAAATAGGTAATTTACAATTCAGGGGTTCACAATTCCACTGCAGGGATCTATCCTGAGATGAAAGTGGGGGAAATCATTGTCATCAGATCCATGTTGGGAAATTAGGATGATCATTATGACACCTCTAAACACATAAAATTTGACTGTTTGACTTTTGTTGGTCTAACCTTTTTGAAAAATTTATCATTCTATCTTTTCAACATATATATGCTGTATTTTGAAAACTCAGCCAATTTGCCATTGTGGAATTTGGAAGGAGAAAATTTGGAAAAATCAAACAATATTTGAATGTAACTAAAAGAATCTTGATAAACCCCTGCACTATCCTGATGCGCTAAGCTCATGATTCTATGTCAGGCCAGTGAAGATTTTAATATTTATTTCTATGAAAAATAGTTTGCCTTGTAAACTTTTGTATAATCGGTCTACAGGCTGGTACGAGTATATAAAATTGAACACCTCTTCAGTCGTAAATTTCAGTAATGTCTGTACGCCTAGAAGATCAGGTATAACCTGGGGAACCTTTATATAAAAAGACAAGTTCTGTATCTACACACTAAATCACCTGGACCTGATACAGCATACATCCCATCGAGATAGGATTTTAAAGCATATAAAAAAATTGCCTCATACAGGATATACTTCATGTTTTTTAAAAACCATGTTTGAATTATGATACAAGATAAGCAAGAAAAAAAATGTCAGAAGTGTTTCTATTAAAGAAATGAAATGAGTGAAGTTTGTCATACTCGTCACGGCGACACCTAGAGATGAGGGAGGCGAGGTCGCCACGGTCACAATACTCCATGATGATGTAGATGGTGGTGTTGCTGCGATCGATGATGCGGTCATAGTACCGTACAATGTTACTGTGTCTCAGCTCACGCAGAAGGTTCACCTCTGACACCAACATTTGCTTCTCCGTCTCAGTCATCGACCCATAGTCCATCTCCTTCCACGCCAACACCTGAACAGTGTTATAATCTCATCACCCTTTGACTTCTCCAATGGTGTTATACAGGATTTTTAAGCATATCCTTATATATTTATATAATTATCAACATATACGTTCAGTTCACTATATTGAGTTCTATCTAAAAGCATCAAAACAATTTGATGTACCAGGTATACTTCACATATTGTAACAGGTGTAATAACTTAATTTTGCTCCACAATATTTTAATAATCTCTCATAACTGTATATAATATTATACAACTATCATGTACTACATGTATATGTGATGTACCATATATTTTTACCTTATTCCTCAACTAAGGAAACTCCCTCTACATGATTGCTTAGCCTTACATGAAGAGCTTTAAGGAATGCAACTGCGTAAGAAACTGCGAGAGAAATATGCGGAATTTTATCTATTCATTATTTATAGTTTATCTTATATCATTTTAGCCAAAACTGGAGCCAGAAAAATAACTTATCACACCAATACTGTATAGTACTTTATGGTCTAGCATGATTCCTTTCGTTACATAATCATCGGTATTCATTACATGCATTCACAATAAAATATTCAATAGTAGAAATACAGTGCAGGAGAAAAGTAGACCTAGTACTTAAACGAACAAATCCTACAAGTTAAACAGCTATTGCGGAAAGTTAGAACTGGTTGGTGGCCGTTATCGTTTACCTTTCCGTCTTTTTTGCGGCGGATCTTGCGACATGTTCCATATGAACCTGAGCCTATGGTGGAAATGACTGCAAAGTCATCAAGTGTGCTAGGCATCCTCGGGCTGAAACAAAACATATGCCAAAATTTAGATACTACTGGAAGAAGAAAGACATACAATTTTCCCAAGCATTTATAAAATCACAAAAATTTTACTCTTGGATTATAACTAATGAAAAAGTATAATTTCATTTAAATATATGAAACCCATATTAGATTTAAACCACATAACGTTACAATGATAGTAAAAAAACATCAGTTTATATATCAATTTCACTTTAGTACTCACATATAGACTTGTAAATATATATTTATTTGTCTAGAAATTGCAACAGCAACAAGGATACATTTCAATTTTTATAAGAGGCTATACATATAGCTATTGTACAGATATCTATACTGTACAGATATAGAAAATAATTATAACAATGAGAAATATCATACATACATAAGATTTTACATGAGCTTCCATTTCATATGAGATTTATGAAAGAGTCTAAGAATTTTTCATTTTTTACAAGCCTTTGGTGACTAAAATGAAAAAAAGGTGAAGAGTTACATAAATTTCATATGAAATGAAAAGGAGTGTAAGATCCTTTTTATCACAAAATGAAAATTTGTGCCATTTTTTCGTGTAAAACGACAATTTTCATGCAACCTTGAAATGTAAAAAGTTGCCATTTCGACTCCAGTGCGTAAATCTGTGACGACATGTACTTGTCCTAGGTGTGACGTCACAATTGAAGCTTACAACCAATCACAGGGCTGATAGCTATAGGTCTTATTACATGGGTTAAAATGCAAATAAATATGACATAGGTATATTCAATGGATAACACAGTACATTATGTGATAAATTACATTATCGGCAGATTTTGAACTTTAGTGATGTACCATACAAATTAAAATGAAAATATGACATTTTATACTGAAAAAAAAATAAAAAAATATCTACTCACCTCATTCTTATGTGCTTATGATTTTTGTAATTGTTAAGATCCAACATATTTTTATGCTAAAAAGTGATATCCACATTCATAATGAAACAAATTATAGAGAATATTCCCGTTTCCTATTTTTGCCCATGAATTGTAGATCTACAAGATAAATGAATGAATAGATGACTTCTGAGCCAGTGCCCCATGTCTTTCTTGGACCTACACAGATTTGTTGTAGGTCTGGTCAAACAGGTCCCACCTGATATAACCCCCTGTGGTCCTGTCCCTTTCTTCTCTTACTGTAATTACACATTTGTCATGATTGCTTTATCAAACAGGCCCCTAGGGGGCACTTACAATCACCATCAGAGATGGACAATAGAAATCACTCATGATCAGGTGTCAAACACTTCTATACCTGTACTAACTAGCAGTGAGTTAAGAGGATCAAAGGGAATCAACCTGATGTACACCTGTGTTTTTTAAGTAAAGGAGTTCTGAGAACGTCTGACCAGAGTTTTTGTTTTTGTAAACAATGCACAGCACAGTGAGGTTACTCTACATGGTTGTTATTTCTTTATTATTTCAGCACTTTAAAAGATCAACAGAGTCCAGCATTCCATTGCGTGAGAACTAGGTGCTATTATAAGAGCAGTGTGGACAGACACCTTGTAAACAGGCCTAGGTGACCTTGGTCTTTTGTGATGTTAACATGTGTTAACTTTCACACACACAAAGTACACGCTGTTTGAGAAGGTCTGGGATGATAATCATGCCGTGATTGCAGTCAGTGTCCATTTTTTGGCAAGAGGAACATGCCTGTTTTCAAGAATAAACTCTAGGAAATTTGTTTAATACACTGTTTGCTGATGATTTTCTTGAATTAAATCATGGATTTTCCCATTTTACAATGTATGATATATTTGTTTCATCCTGTTAATAAATAAAGCTAGTTTTTGTCAAGTATACAACTACATATTGAGCAGCAATAAAAACCTTAATTAGGCTTTTAATATAGCTTTATACTGAACTATTCAAACAAGATCTGTACAGTAGACCTTTTTAATATGTTAACTTTTCCATACTTCCAATAAAGCAAATGAAAGTTTATTAAAAAATCTGGTCTGAAGCTCAACACTTTTTTTAGTTGGGAAGGGGGAAGGGGGAGGGGGGGTGATGCTAATTTTATATTCTAAGATTCTGTTTTTTTATGGGGCTAATAATTGGTCCCATTCCAGTTGAAACTATTTTACATTTACGCCACATTCCCAAAATTTGCTATTTACTCAAGCTGTGAATAGCTTCTGTCAAGGAGACAATTTTAGCAGCCAGGTACTATTATTATTAGCACTAAGTTTTCTCCAAAACTTTTCTTTCCCAAAATGAGACAAAAATTAAGGTCCCATCCAAAATTGTGTAATACATCTTTGCAAAAAAAGTATGGAAACATCCTATACTTTGATACAAAAATAACTAAGTCCCGAAACATCTTTCATTCAAAAGCGAAACTCTACAGTACCTGACGACCACACAGTACACTACAACTTCCAAGTATTATTCTACAAATAAAAATTAAGCATACTTCAGTATATCAAAAGAAATACCAAAAAGGCTTCTTCAAAATTTTGATAAGGAAATGTACAAATAAAATGTAATATTTCTTACGTTTTAGTCCTGCAATCATCTGTTGCAGATATGGGTCTATGTGCATCCCCCAATCCGAATGCAAGGTCGATTGCTCGCTTATTTCCTGCCAGTCGAATGTCACTATCTTGTTTTCGGATTTTGACAGGAACGGCGAGAGGATCGATTTCGACCGTTCCAGCCATATCTAGATAGGTTAACCCGACCCAAACCACAACAAACTGCTACTCAATTATCTAGTAAGCTCCTTTAACAGCTGTAGGAGGAATCCATATTGGAAGCGAGTCACACTGACTTGTTCCGACTTATGAATATCACCCTATCAGATGCAAGGAAAATGTCAACAGTGCTTTGTTTATGTTCTACATTGGACTTGTTTCAACTTGTCACGATGCTCGCCATTGCATGTAATATTTAATGTTTTCTTTCTTGAAATTAATATGTTATCATGTTTAGCTATTTGGATATTAAATACTTACTATCTTCACGGTAACCGTTACATTGATATTGATTTATTCTCAATAAATACAATATCATTCAAAATGCATCCCATTTCATGGCTTCGAAATTGCCGCAATATGAAAGAGCCACTATGATTGGTTTGTTTGATACCTTACACTATTTTTCATTGGTCTGATAAATTGCACTATAATTATTTGTCTGTAAACGGTAGGGGCACCATGAATTTCCGGAACCTTTTTTTCGACAGATATATATGATCAGAAAATGATTTCACTGAACAATGACAAATAGGTTGACCACATTATCACTAAAAACCACGTTCAGAACATATTTTCATTTTTGTTATCTATATTGACTTGAATGCTCATGCATGAACATTTCAAGATATTATCTATTCAGGAATTTTTCTTGTGCTTCACAATTTTAACAGTTTTTTTTTTATACTTTGTGTTCTTTTTTGATAACTCAAGATAGCTTAGACAGAAAATAGTAGTTTGTCGTAATTTATAGTTAAATTATGTCCTTCGTAGCGATTGGTCCAATGAAACGGTCCGGCAAAATGTGTCTAACTAATGTTTTATCTAGTCTGACGAAATATAATACCTAACTACGTAACGATTTACTATTTGCTTTTAATTATACCTTTATCTGAAATGCGCGGATAATCTGAAATGTAGAATATTATAAAATTAATTTTAGAACAGCAACGGTGAAAATTGTAATACATTGCACGTTTGAAACAGTAACTCTGATATTAATGATCTTAATTGCTATATCGTGGGAATAACTATTTTTTGTTATAACGTATACTTATTTTTATCACTTAGACCACGGAATTAGATTAGACCGTGCTTAGGCCTGACTATGAATTTATTATCTCCCCTTGCCTTGTTGTGTACGTATTTGTATGAGTGCAAGAGTAATATTTTGTTTTGTAGGGTTTTCTAGAGGTTGTAACTGCATCAAAATATGATATCGAACCCCGCATGATCTGCTATTCCTTTATGCGTACGTATCCCGATTGAACCGGTTCAGGTGGAACAGAATTATTCCGCGATAAACGAACGCACTTGGACCGAACTGTAGACCAGTTTTGTAGTTTTAAGGTTTCAAGAATAACATGTACTTCTTTTACGTGTCCACTACATTATATAACGTTCCCCAGAATATATATATGTGAGCCATATGAGTTTACCTTGTTGTATAAAGAAATAATGAAAGCTAGCAATAGTCAGCATTTTAGTTTCGGTCAGTCACGTCTGGATCCCTCGATCAGTCTCGGTTCAGATCTGAGCATGTCGTTTTCTTTTCAGGTTCAGTTGGTTGAAATGGTTGAACCGGATACGCGAAAGGGGCCTAGTTATTCCGAAAGGGTATGCATAAAGAAATAGTATATATTTCCCTATCAACCTGCATCTTTGGAAACTCGGTGTTGTATGTTCGTGCGTCAGCCGTCGACATCTATCACGGATGTCATGATATTCGGAGCAAGCTCTTGTGTACCGAAGCAACTACGACATCAAAACACCATAAGGAGGGAAAGCAGGGGTGTTGTTATCAAGAAAGGGAAAGGTCCCGATCGGAAAGTCGAAATCATCCCAAGATTTGAGAGTGTGATTTCAAGCTCTGAATGGTATATATATACGCACGATCGATGTGGTCAATCAAAGACAGCACATCCCTTCAACCCAGGACAACATAAGTAAAACATACATCGGATATTCTTGTAGAATAGATTAGGTTTTATCCACAATAGCTGCATATGACCTATCTTCAAATAAATCATATACAACATTACAACATTTTCAAGCTGATTTGATATATCTCCAATTGCATTGAATCTATAGTTTCAAATGAATTGAAGATATCTTTAAGTAATTGTTATTTTGTCGTTCCATAGTTTTGTGATACATTGTACGCCAAATAAACTTAGCGAATTATATTCAAATAATTAAAAATGGGAACAATTCATTTTAGGATATCTTGATTTGCATTAAACTATCTTTTACTCAATTGAATGTATCTTCATGTAAAAAGAGTAATTAAACCTCTCTTAAATTGAAGGTATTATTTATCATTTTTTCAACCTGAGAAAATGACCAATAATTTGAAGTATATTTATACACCTAGGTCATGCGGAGCTTTATTTCTCTTCTACTAGCTGTTGAGAGGAATTCCGACCTCAAATAATGATAAATGTTGCCATGCGAAACCACTAAAATCATAGTAAAATCCCCTGGTAATACATTAGCAATTTATAAATAAGAAAACAAAGGCGAAGTAACCTTGATCGATAAATGAACTTTAGATGGTGTGCCATTTGAAAACATTATTATATATGTTATTATATATTATGTGATTCAAGCTGAAAACTACAATATGTATAACAAGTCTAGCTCTTTTATAAAAAAAATAATGTTAAAGATGTACTCTTCTGAGGTTTCAATCACGTTCAAGTCTCGTTTTGATCTGGTGTAACGGGTTTTTGTAATATTTAACAAATTATGATCAAGTCTACTAGCAAACACGCATCTGAAAAATATGTCAAAAAACTAGATGTCTGTTGTTTGTAGAACTTTTTTACAAGAATCTAAAAAAATATCAATTCGGAGGCCATTTTGAAAATGTGTATTAACGTGTATTTCTTGGGCTTCAAAAAAGGCAAAAAAATCACCTTTTTGGACACTAGATTGATCACTTAAGTTGTCATTGTGTCGCCATTTTTAATTATAGCAGGTTCAATTTTGCTGTACAACTTTATAATGTTTACTATGATAAAAAATAGTATGCAACAAACTGGAAAATTATACATTATTGATATTTTTTTTACATATTTAGTGTGACTGAAGCACTTTGGATTTTTGACCCCGAAAAAGGTAAAAAATAACACAAATGATAATGGGACAAAAAAAGAAGCACACCGACCCCCCATTTTTGTGGATGTTTTAGAAAGAGAAACACATTTTCTTTTAATTCATTAAATATTAAAAAAAGTTTAATAGCAGAACTTTTTTTATCAAGCGATAATCTGCAAAAAATGGTAAAAAAATGAGTATATTTACATTAAAAAATATGGGGTAAGGGTAACTTAAATCGGCTTTCTGAGTTAAAAGAATAAGATTAAGAAATTTTACTTCCACAATTTAAAAGAAAATAATATTTTCATCAATTGAATTTGTTCTGCAAATGGTCTAAACCCAAAAAATCACCTAGAATCACATGTTGTGTTAAATTGGTATCTTTGACCGACCATAGCACAAAAACGAACACACCGACATATAGTTTTTTTTGCATTTTTTACTATGCCATTAACTACTTTTTCCAAAAATCCATAGAAGAAAAAAAGTTTGATACAGGACATTTTTGACTTCTCAGAGGTGTACAAGCTCTTTTGTAAAAAAAATAATTAAATGTTAAGAAAGGACAATTTATATGAAGTTCAAGTAGTGTTTATGGTCAAAGGTCTATGGTTTTACACATATATACCGGTAAAATATGTTACGCGGACGTTTTACGATGGATTTTGTACTTTCCAATAGCAATATTCATCTTCTTGTGTATACCTCTCCACACATAGCTGAATAGAAATAATGCCCCGCATGACCTAGGTATATAAATGTCTTCAAAAAACATGTCATTTCGCAACACTCATTTGGGTCGCTTAAGAGATTAACATGTTATAAATCTGGTGAGCAACTTTTATAATTACATCAGGCTTAATGCCGTATTTTGACTTCGTTAACCTGGTTATGTACCTTTTTAATAGCTCATATTAGTTCAATATATTTAAATTACATATAAATATTCCGATTTTCGATAAGGCTATTTGAATATGACTTGCCAGGGGGTTGAAATTAGGATGACTATAACATCTTTTAGGGGGCTTGTTGAACCTTAGGTTTTACATGATTATGCTGTCACCGTCCTGGGGCGTATATTATAAATTTGCAGTTATAATACAATTTATAATATAATATCTGGTTTCTGACAGAAACTTTCAACATATAAATTGTTATTATATACTTAAAGTTATTTTCTATCTAATTGATCCAGTGCAATAATAAAAAACGGACTTTTGTAACAGCATTCTACTTCCCGTATGATTATTAGAATCGTACCCATACAGTTCAAAGGTCAACTGCTCATGTGACCAAACAAGATGGCGATATCCATCATAACAAACGTTGAACTTCTGAACTTCAATGGCAGATCTTAAATATGCCATTATCGTCGATACCTTGTCAAAGTACTGGCTATCGTGATTCGGGATGGAACAAGCCACAAACAAAGAAGATTTCCCTTATAAAGAAGAGCGTCGATACTCTGTCGAAAGGTTGTTTCGGTACTTCTGCAACAACTTGTACCTGGGGCAGTGGGAGGTTGCCCGTGCCTGTCTTCAGCAGCTGCACCGCGAGGGCCAATTGATCGGAAGGAACATCAAGGACTTTCTTCGGGACATTACAGAAAATCCTTACGAGAGAAGGTGTGTATAACGATGATCGAAGGAACAAACTAAACATTACTACAGAAAAAAATCGTTCATGGTTATTTCCTGCGTACTACATCTGTGCTACTCATCAGAGTTGAAATAATAAAAATAATATTATATATATGAAGTGATGAATGCTGAAGAAATTAGTCCGATGTGTCTAGACCGTAGTTGAGAAAATCTACTTCAGACTGACAGATCTATTGTAAAATCTACCCAAATGATCACTGATGATGAATGAAATTTGTGTCATCTTCATAAGGATAAATTAAGATACGGATCACAAGGATTTTAAAGTCCCGTTTTACAAGCTGAAGTAAATATTCTATGTAATTTATATATCAGTACTTACATTTGTGATAATACAGCTGGTATCTATTTATTTTGTTGACAGCTTGTGTATTGGTCCAGAATGCTCTGTCACATCCCCTCAGCAGCTGTCCTGGCTCAGTCTCCAGGAGTACAGGAGACTCAACACACCCTGCTCTGAGGATGACGAGGTAATATATTCGGTCTATCACGTCTCCACATTGCCCAGTGTCAGTTCTCCATATAATACAATACTCTTTGCTCAATCGAAATATGTTATTTGTCAATAAATGTATTTAGACATTTTCAGATCATTTGTGTATACTACATGTATATTTTTATTTCCAATGCATACTCTGATAACCAATGATGTCAAACTGCAGATAATATTAATTATGCATTTTAATTTCTTTACAGAAGAGGACCTTTGAAATTTTGCAACAAAACACTGAGTTCCACTTGTTGCTTCTGGAAGCCTGTCACAATGTGTCCGAGTGTGTGATTAGGGTAGGTAACTGGGTATGTGATTAGGGTAGGTAGCTGGGTATGTGATTAGGGTAGGTAGCTGGGTATATGATTAGGGTAGGTAGCTGGGTATGTGCTTAGGGTAGGTAGCTGGGTATGTGATTAGGGTAGGTAGCTGGGTGTGTGATTAGGGTATGTAGCTGGGTGTGTGATTAGGGTAGGTAGCTGGGAATGTGATTAGGGAAGGTAGCTGGGTATGTGATTAGGGAAGGTAGCTGGGTATGTGATTAGGGTAGGTAGCTGGGTGTGTGCTTAGGGTAGGTAGCTGGGTATGTGATTAGGGGAGGTAGCTGGGTGTGTGATTAGGGGAGGTAGCTGGGTGTGTGATTAGGGTAGGTAGGTTGGTATGTGATTAGGGTAGGTTAGCTGGGTGTGTGATTCGGGTAGGTAGCTGGGTATGTGATAAGGGTAGGTAGCTGGGTGTGTGATTAGGGTAGGGGGCTGGGTGTGTGATTAGGGTAGGTAGCTGGGTGTATGATTAGGGGAGGTAGCTGGGTGTGTGATTAGGGTAGGTAGCTGGATATGTGATTAGGGTAGGTAGCTGGGTATGTGATTCGGGTAGGTAGCTGGGTATGTGATTACGGTAGGTAGCTGGGTTTGTGATTAGGGTAGATAGCTGGGTGTGTGATTAGGGTAGGAAGCTGGGTATGTGATTAGGGTAGGTAGCTGGGTGTGATTAGGGTAGGTAGCTGGGGGTGTGATTAGGGAAGGTAGCTGGGTATGTGATTAGGGAAGGTAGCTGGGTGTGTGATTAGGGTAGGTAGCTGGATATGTGCTTAGGGTAGGTAGGTGGGTGTGTGATTAGGGTAGGTAGCTGGGTGTGTGATAAGGGTAGGTAGCTGGGTGAGTGTTTAGGGTAGGTAGCTGGGTGTGTGATTAGGGTAGGGGGCTGGGTGTGTGATTAGGGTAGGTAGCTGGGTGTATGATTAGGGTAGGTAGCTGGGTGTTTGATTAGGGTAGGTAGCTGGGTGTGTGATTAGGGCAGGTAGCTGGGTGTGTGACTATGGTAGGTAGCTGGGTGTGTGATTAGGGGAGGTAGCTGGGTGTGTGATTAGGGTAGGTAGCTGGATATGTGATTAGGGTAGGTAGCTGGGTATGTGATTGGGGTAGGTTGCTGGGTATGTGATTAGGGTAGGTAGCTGGGTTTGTGATTAGGGTAGATAGCTGGGTGTGTGATTAGGGTAGGAAGCTGGGTATGTGATTAGGGTAGGTAGCTGGGTGTGGGATTAGGGTAGGTAGCTGGGTGTGTGATTTGGGTAGGTAGCTGGGTATGTGATTAGGGTAGGTAGGTGGGTGTGTGATTAGGGTAGGTAGCTGGGTGTGTGATTAGTGTAGGTAGCTGGGTGTGTGATTAGGGTAGGTAGCTGGATATGTGCTTAGGGTAGGTAGGTGGGTGTGTGATTAGGGTAGGTAGCTGGGTGTGGGATTAGGGTAGGTAGCTGGGTGTGTGATTAGGGAAGGTAGCTGCGTATGTGATTAGGGGGTAGGTAGCTGGGTATGTGATAAGGGTAGGTAGCTGGGTGTGTGATTAGGGTAGGGGGCTGGGTGTGTGATTAGGGTAGGTAGCTGGGTGTATGATTAGGGTAGGTAGCTGGGTGTTTGATTAGGGTAGGTAGCTGGATGTGTGATTAGGGTAGGTAGCTGGGTATGTGATAAGGGTAGGTAGCTGGGTATGTGATTAGGGTAGGTAACTGGGTATGTGATTACGGTAGGTAGCTGGGTTTGTGATTAGGGTAGATAGCTGGGTGTGTGATTAGGGTAGGTAGCTGGGTGTGGGATTAGGGTAGGTAGCTGGGTATGTGATGAGGTTAGGTAGCTGGGTATGTGATTAGGGTAGGTAGCGGGGTATGTGATAAGGGTAGGTAGCTGGGTGTGTGATTAGGGTAGGGAGGGTGTGTGATTATGGTAGGTAGCTGGGTGTGGGATTATGGTAGGTAGCTGGGTATGTGATTAGGGTAGGTAGGTGGGTGTTTGATTACGGTAGGTAGCTGGGTGTGTGATTAGGGTAGGTAGCTGGGTGTGTGTGTGATTAGGGAAGGTAGCTGCGTATGTGATTAGGGTAGGTAGATGGATGTTTGATTATGGTAGGTAGCTGGGTGTGTGATTAGGGTAGGTAGCTGGGTGTGTGATTAGGGTAGGTAGCTGGGTGTGTGATTAGGGTAGGTAGCTGGGTATGTGATGAGGTTAGGTAGCTGGGTATGTGATTAGGGTAGGTAGCTGGTTGTATGATTAGGGTAGGTAGCTGGGTATGTGATTAGGGTAGGTAGCTGGGTGTGTGATTAGGGTATTTAACTTGAAGGTGAAGTAGGCAATGTAGCATCATGCAGTGACCATTGTAATATATACTACATTATATATTGTAAACCAATACCAATGTACTTGATTCTGTAAACAGTTTTTGATATGGTAATTTATAGAACTAAATTAATCTATCTGTTATTTAAAAACCTTTTGAAAATAATAAAACTGCCAATATAGTTATTATATTGATAGAGCTATAAATCCATTTTCGAGATCAAATGTTGGTATTGCTCTGAGTGAGTTATACTTTTTAGTATGCAAAGCAGATGGAGGATAAGGTTATGCCCTCCGTCTGTCTGTCCAAGGTGTTGTCTGGAGCATATCTTCCTCATTATTTCACCTGGGATCATCATACTTGGTATGCTGGTACGTCTTGGGGAGGCAGAGTGTCTGTGAAACAATAGAGTACTGTGACCTACGTGTTGATCTTATACCTTAACTAAAAGTACAAAATATTTGTTTTGAGATACAGCTTGTCTAGAGCATATCTCCCACATCTCTCACCTGTGATCATGGAAGTTGGTATGTTACTGTCATGTAAGTGGGTGATAATCATAACTTCCGGCATGAATTGAGTCCATAGTTTATCTTTACAATAGTGATGATATCAACAACAATGCCGGCGGTAGGTAGACTAATTCTGCCATTTGATGCCCTTAATAACTATTTTTTCTGGCTTGGAATTGCTGGTGGCAGCAAACTCAAAACATTAATTTTCATATATTTAAATATATTAGTACAATGTATATATTCACCAAAATGGTGCCTTGATCCCTGAATATGACACCATTTGTTAATGCATAGAATTGGATTTTCACATGATCTTGATGATTTATGCTTTTTTTTTTTGCATGTATTATATTTCAGGATTTATATAATTATCACAAATGCATCACTGAAGCCCCCCTGACTAGTGGAAACAAACCTGCCTCTGTCACCCTGTCATCAGATCTTCAAGAATTTCTCCAAACCAAGCTACTGGAACATCCTATCTTGGGACATGCTCTCATACATGCAATCTTGGCAGAGAAAAAATACACGTTCTTAAAGAAAAATAATGACATTCTGCAAAACATTTACCTACAGGCTATAAATAATATTTTGGATAGATATTCCAATTTCTGTACCAGAGAGGAGACTGCAGCTTCAAGGGAGGCCAAAATACGAACAGTATATGAGCTACTAGCATTGTACAACCCAGAACCTTATCAGAACTATGCCCCTTTGAGAGAACTCTTCACAAGATTTCTTGAGCTGTCTGCTAGTGATGGTAGTGTGCTGGACAGAGAAAGACTTCTGTCATCAATGGTTGGCAAGACAAATACATACTTGGTAGAAGAATTCTGTAAATTGGAATATGAGTTGGAAAACAAATGTGTACCCAGTGGTAACCATAGATACAACGGTCTTGATGAGATTGTGAGACAATTCTTTCATTGGATAAAAAACTCTGATGTGAAAATTCGTCTACATTGGTTATTTGTTCTTTGTTTAAAAAGAGAGCAACATTTCCTGAAGACCATACTAGTAAGTACACACTTAGGGTGACATGTGAGGATTGGGGAGAGGTATAGAGGTTACCCTGTTACATGGGGAGAGGTTATGTTGTATATCATTACAGTAACATGATGGGGGAGGCTACCATATCTGGTGACATGGGGGAGAGGTTATGTTGTATATCATTACATTAACATGGTGGGGGAGGCTACCATATCTGGTGACATGGGGATAGGTTATGTTGTATGTCATTACAGTAACATGGTGGGGGAGGCTACCATATCTGGTTACATGGGGAGAGGATACAATGTGTAACATGTATGTAAATATGATAAGGGGATGCAACAGTATCATAAGTAGCAGTACAGAATTATCAATAAATGTCCAAAAGGTTAAAAAAAAAGCTGTCTTAATAACTAGATATTTGTTCTTTTTGGAAAGTCAGCTTCATTATCACAGTGACAAATGAATACACGCTTTGATGACGGTAAATCTGGTAATGCACACTTCTCATTTTCAGGTTTGTTGTATAGAAACACTTGCTTTTACTCTAATGTTTTCTTATTTTTTCTCTCTGTTTTTTCCAGGACACTGCCATCAACTTGATGAAGAACAGTTTATTTGGTGAGCTGACAGAGTTGTTAAAACCAGAGGAGTTATGGCCCCTGAAACCACTTCTTCTATTGCATGGCTGGTCCTTTTGTAAATCATGCTCCCAGGCCAAAGTACTGCTGGATACACTGTGGGACGATCAGGTTTGTACTGCACACACTAAAGTACTACTTGATACACTGTGGGACGGTGGGTTTGTACTTCACACACTAAAGTACTACTGGATACACTGTGGGACAGTGGGTTTGTACTGCACACACTAAAGTACTACTGGATACACTGTGGGACGGTGGGTTTGTACTGCACATACTAAAGTGCTACTTGATACACTGTGGGACGGTGGGTTTGTACTGCACATACTAAAGTACTACTTGATACACTGTGGGACGGTGGGTTTGTACTGCACATACTAAAGTACTACTTGATACACTGTGGGACGGTGGGTTTGTACTGCACATACTAAAGTACTACTTGATACACTGTGGGACGGTGGGTTTGTACTGCACACACTAAAGTACTACTTGATACACTGTGGGACAGTGGGTTTGTACTGCACACACTAAAGTACTACTTGATACACTGTGGGACAGTGGGTTTGTACTGCACACACTAAAGTACTACTTGATACACTGTGGGACAGTGGGTTTGTACTGCACACACTAAAGTACTACTTGATACACTGTGGGACAGTGGGTTTGTACTGCACACACTAAAGTACTACTTGATACACTGTGGGACAGTGGGTTTGTACTGCACACACTAAAGTACTACTTGATACACTGTGGGACAGTGGGTTTGTACTGCACACACTAAAGTACTACTTGATACACTGTGGGACAGTGGGTTTGTACTGCACACACTAAAGTACTACTTGATACACTGTGGGACAGTGGGTTTGTACTGCACACACTAAAGTACTACTTGATACACTGTGGGACAGTGGGTTTGTACTGCACACACTAAAGTACTACTTGATACACTGTGGGACAGTGGGTTTGTACTGCACACACTAAAGTACTACTTGATACACTGTGGGACAGTGGGTTTGTACTGCACACACTAAAGTACTACTTGATACACTGTGGGACAGTGGGTTTGTACTGCACACACTAAAGTACTACTTGATACACTGTGGGACAGTGGGTTTGTACTGCACACACTAAAGTACTACTTGATACACTGTGGGACAGTGGGTTTGTACTGCACACACTAAAGTACTACTTGATACACTGTGGGACAGTGGGTTTGTACTGCACACACTAAAGTACTACTTGATACACTGTGGGACAGTGGGTTTGTACTGCACACACTAAAGTACTACTTGATACACTGTGGGACAGTGGGTTTGTACTGCACACACTAAAGTACTACTTGATACACTGTGGGACAGTGGGTTTGTACTGCACACACTAAAGTACTACTTGATACACTGTGGGACAGTGGGTTTGTACTGCACACACTAAAGTACTACTTGATACACTGTGGGACAGTGGGTTTGTACTGCACACACTAAAGTACTACTTGATACACTGTGGGACAGTGGGTTTGTACTGCACACACTAAAGTACTACTTGATACACTGTGGGACAGTGGGTTTGTACTGCACACACTAAAGTACTACTTGATACACTGTGGGACAGTGGGTTTGTACTGCACACACTAAAGTACTACTTGATACACTGTGGGACAGTGGGTTTGTACTGCACACACTAAAGTACTACTTGATACACTGTGGGACGGTGGGTTTGTACTGCACACACTAAAGTACTACTTGATACACTGTGGGACAGTGGGTTTGTACTGCACATACTAATGTACTGCTTCACATTAGTGACCCACATCTGGATTATTGTTCAACTGTTTTGGGTAACAGTTCAAAAAATAATGTTGTAAAATTAGAACGCCTGCAAAAGACAGCAGCCAGTATTATTTTAAAATGTGATTTTTCCACACCTTACTGTGATATGTTCAAAAAACTTAATTGGTTACCTTTTCACAAAAGAATTTTATACAATCAAGTAGTTTTTATGTACAAGATACTTAATAATTTAGCTTCACAAAATTTGAATGATTTTACGTATATGTCTAATGTTCAGGGTAGAACTCCAATATCATCATCTACCAATGTGTTTTACTTGCCATATCATAAGACGAACATTTTTAGAAAATCTTTTAGATATCAGGGACCCCTTACATGGAATCTTTTTACCAAGTCATATTAGAAATTGTACTTCATTTTTAGAATTTAAGAGAACTGCAAAGCAATTTTACTTGAAATGATTTATGATTTCCTCCCTTATCCAGTATTTTATACATGTATATTTCTTAAAGCTGTAAATATTTGTACATTTTATCATACATTGTATCTTGACCATATGTAAGATGAGCTTCATGCTCAATATGTTATCAAGAATAAATAAAGCCTTTATTATTATTATTACTTGATACACTGTGGGACGATGGGTTTGTACCGCATCAACTTAAGCTTGGTACACACAAAGACAATCTCATTTGTACTGTACTGAATTACTGTTGATCAACAAATGATAAGAAAGAATATAATTAAATATGTTTTGAAGTCCATCAGTGCTAAGCACAGGAATCAAGCAAATGAGTATTTTCAAAAAGAGTAATATAATGGCAATTCAGTGATGTTCATGGTAAAATAAGCTTACTGTTGTAGACAGAATACTTATAACTGATGTTCAGGATATATAAATGATCATTTGTCATATTTATAGACTTTTGATGAGGCTGATACATTGTTATATGTTCTCAGTTAGGAGAGTGAATCACCCTTCATCAGTATCTTACTTTTTGGTCCTCATAACAATGTATCAACAAGATATAAGATACCTGATTTAAGATTAGACACAAATAAGTGTCATTATTCAGGTTTATTATTAGAAAATATTGCAGTCAGTATTGTATATAGATGGTTTAAGGTCATCAAGTCTTAGCTAAACAGAATAAGAAAATCCTAACATGACTTGTGTCATCATGTGTCCAGCCCGTTTGAGATTTTTATTTTCAAGAAGATGCTAACAGACTAGTGTTTTGACATAGGTCCAGTTCCAGCATCCAGCATTAGAGGCAGGTTGTAGCAAGCTTTCCTACCAAATAGACCTCATACAGTGGTGTCTGGACCGTACAAAGTAAGTCAGCTGTCTGTATCACTAGATAGACCTCATGCAGTGGTGTCTGGACCGTACAAAGTAAGTCAGCTGTCTGTATCACAAGATAGACCTCATACAGTGGTGTCTGGACCGTACAAAGTAAGTTAACTGTCTGTATCACTAGATACACCTAATATAGTGGTGTCTGGACCGTACATAGTAAGTTAGCTGTCTGTATCACTAGATAGACCTCATACAGTGGTGTCTGGACCGCAAAAAGTAAGTTAGCTGTCTGTATCACTAGATAGACCTCATACAGTGGTGTCTGGAACGTACAAAGTAAGTCAGCTGTCTGTATCACTAGATAAACCTCATACAGTGGTGTCTGGACCATACATAGTAAGTCAGCTGTCTGTATCACTGGATAGACCTCATACAGTGGTGTCTGGACCGTACAAAGCAAGTCAGCTGTCTGTATCAGTAGAAAAATCTCATACAGTGGTGTCTGGACCGTACATAGAAAGTCAGCTGTCTGCATCACTAGAAAAATCACATACAGTGGTGTCTGGACCGTACAAAGTAAGTCAGCTGTCTGTATCACTAGATAGATCTCACACAGTGGTGTCTGGACCGCACAAAGTAAGTCAGCTGTCTGTATCACTAGATAGATCTCATACAGTGGTGTCTGGACCGTACAAAGTAAGTCAGCTGTCTGTATCAGTAGATAGACCTCATACAGTGATGTCTGGACCGTACAAAGTAAGTCAGCTGTCTGCATCACTAGAAAAATCACATACAGTGGTGTCTAGACCGTACAAAGTAAGTCAGCTGTCTGTATCACTAGATAGATCTCACACAGTGGTGTCTGGACCGCACAAAGTAAGTCAGCTGCCTGTATCACTAGATAGATCTCATACAGTGGTGTCCGGGTCGCACATAGTAAGTCAGCTGTCTGTATCAGTAGATAGACCTCATACAGTGGTGTCTGGACCGTACAAAGTAAGTTAGCTGTCTGTATCACTAGAAAAATCACCTACAGTGGTGTCTGGACCGTACATAGTAAGTCAGCTGTCTGTATCACTAGATACACCTAATACAGTGGTGTCTGGACAGTACAAAGTAAGTCAGCTGTCTGTATCAGTAGATAGACCTCACACAGTGGTGTCTGGACCGTACAAAGTAAGTCAGCTGTCTGCATCACTAGAAAAATCACATACAGTGGTGTCTGGACCGTACAAAGTAAGTTAGCTGTCTGTATCACTAGAAAAATCACCTACAGTGGTGTCTGGACTGCACAAAGTAAGTCAGCTGTCTGTATCACTAGAAAAATCTCATACAGTGGTTTCAGGACCGTGCATAGTAAGTCAGCTGTCTGTATCACTAGATAGATCTCATACAGTGGTGTCCGGGTCGCACATAGTAAGTCAGCTGTCTGTATCAGTAGATAGACCTCACACAATGGTGTCTGGACCGTACATAGTAAGTCAGCTGTCTGTATCAGTAGATAGACCTCACACAATGGTGTCTGGACCGTACATAGTAAGTCAGCTGTCTGTATCACTAGATAGATCTCATACAGTGGTGTCCGGGTCGCACATAGTAAGTCAGCTGTCTGTATCAGTAGATAGACCTCACACAATGGTGTCTGGACCGTACATAGTAAGTCAGCTGTCTGTATCACTAGATAGATCTCATACAGTGGTGTCCGGGTCGCACATAGTAAGTCAGCTGTCTGTATCAGTAGATAGACCTCACACAATGGTGTCTGGACCGTACAAAGTAAGTCAGCTGTCTGTATCACTAGATAGACCTCATACAGTGGTGTCCGGGTCGCACATAGTAAGTCAGCTGTCTGTATCAGTAGATAGACCTCACACAATGGTGTCTGGACCGTACATAGTAAGTCAGCTGTCTGTATCACTAGATAGATCTCATACAGTGGTGTCCGGGTCGCACATAGTAAGTCAGCTGTCTGTATCAGTAGATAGACCTCACACAATGGTGTCTGGACCGTACATAGTAAGTCAGCTGTCTGTATCACTAGATAGACCTCATACAGTGGTGTCCGGGTCGCACATAGTAAGTCAGCTGTCTGTATCAGTAGATAGACCTCACACAATGGTGTCTGGACCGTACATAGTAAGTCAGCTGTCTGTATCACTAGATAGACCTCATACAGTGGTGTCCGGGTCGCACATAGTAAGTCAGCTGTCTGTATCAGTAGATAGACCTCACACAATGGTGTCTGGACCGTACATAGTAAGTCAGCTGTCTGTATCACTAGATAGACCTCATACAGTGGTGTCCGGGTCGCACATAGTAAGTCAGCTGTCTGTATCAGTAGATAGACCTCACACAATGGTGTCTGGACCGTACATAGTAAGTCAGCTGTCTGTATCACTAGATAGACCTCATACAGTGGTGTCCGGGTCGCACATAGTAAGTCAGCTGTCTGTATCAGTAGATAGACCTCACACAATGGTGTCTGGACCGTACATAGTAAGTCAGCTGTCTGTATCAGTAGATAGACCTCACACAATGGTGTCTGGACCGTACATAGTAAGTCAGCTGTCTGTATCACTAGATAGATCTCATACAGTGGTGTCCGGGTCGCACATAGTAAGTCAGCTGTCTGTATCAGTAGATAGACCTCACACAATGGTGTCTGGACCGTACATAGTAAGTCAGCTGTCTGTATCAGTAGATAGACCTCACACAATGGTGTCTGGACCGTACATAGTAAGTCAGCTGTCTGTATCACTAGATAGACCTCATACAGTGGTGTCCGGGTCGCACATAGTAAGTCAGCTGTCTGTATCAGTAGATAGACCTCACACAATGGTGTCTGGACCGTACATAGTAAGTCAGCTGTCTGTATCAGTAGATAGACCTCACACAATGGTGTCTGGACCGTACATAGTAAGTCAGCTGTCTGTATCACTAGATAGATCTCATACAGTGGTGTCCGGGTCGCACATAGTAAGTCAGCTGTCTGTATCAGTAGATAGACCTCACACAGTGGTGTCTGGACCGTACAAAGTAAGTCAGCTGTCTGTATCACTAGATACACCTAATATAGTGGTGTCTGGACCGTACAAAGTAAGTCAGCTGTCTGTATCACTAGATAGATCTCATACAGTGGTGTCTGGACCGTACAAAGTAAGTCAGCTGTCTGTATCACTAGATAGTTCTCATACAGTGGTTTCTGGACCGTACAAAGTAAGTCAGCTGTCTGTATCACTAAATAGATCTGATACAATGGTGTCTGGACCGTACAAAGTAAGTCAGCTGTCTGTATCACTAGATACACCTAATATAGTGTAGTCTGGACCAACTGTTTGTGTATCATTTGTAGTGTCAGGATGAAGTTATTTCTAGTTTAATCGTTAATTTTTACAATATAGACCACTGCTTATATGTATACTGTATTATAGTATAATTAACCAGTATTTATATTTCCACTGCACAGACCGCTGCTGAAGGAGAACGAGGATGGCCTAACGAGTCACCAGAAGCGTGCGGCAGATATGTTCCTTGGCTTGGAGACCCACTCTGTGCTGTTTGTTCTCCATCGGTCCACCAGAATATCTTCCCTTGATCAGGAAGAAGTCTTTCATCTACTGCAGAAGAGCCCTCTACAAGGGGAGACAGGTAACAAGGGGACATCACACAATGTTTATTCAAACTGATATATATATAGCTTGTGCATGAAGTCATTTGGCTAGAATGGGAGTACAGAGAGTAAAGCGCCTTATTTGTTCCTTTGATTTCCGATTGGAAAAGTAAGTGGAATGTTGGGACATTCTAAAATGTCTTTGTTTTTTTTGTTTCAGTTAAATATGTTATAGACAATATTATATTTTGTTTTGTGTAATTATAGAGACTTTATACTTCAGTCAAATCATACCCCATCTGTAACTGTAAACTATTTCCTTGTCTTAGTAGGTCATAAGTCAAAGAAGAAGGTCAAGTTTGTCAGGTTTGCTTCAAAAGAAGATGACCCAGCGAAAACCGATAGTCTACCTGATGTACACCTTGAGAGGTGGAGGGACATGAGTATATATAGTGGATTCTGTGTGATTAGAAATGTGATGGAGGCCATCTACTTTTGTGCTGAATACCCAGACAGCCGACTGGTGAACCCTGTCCGGCCAGCCCACCAAAGGTCCTATGGGGAGGTACCAGCAGAGGACAACTTTAAAAAGTCTAAAAATGGTGGCCACAGTGTTAACAAGAAAATCACTGAGAACTTCCAGACTGTGTACACTACAAATGTCACAGCGAAGTTGAATAAGGCTAGACATTACCTCGCTCGTCTACAGCCATTGGCATTTCGATTAGAAATTTTAGAAGATCTATTTTCGCTTTTGTTTGTTACTCACGAAGACATTCAAGAAAGCTCACTTGTAGAGACTGATAGTGACGAGGCTGCAGACTATGATAGCAGTCGCAACAACACATTAGACGAAGACTCGCAGCCCATGAGTTTGGTTTCAGAAGAAAGTGTGTCACCTCAGCATGTGGAAGGGCAATCTGTGTTTAAAAATCAAACTTCTGAGATGTCTTATTCAGATCAGAAGTTTTTCCCTGTCGGCAGTGCTTATGATGAGCCGTTCATTGATAGTGGGACCAAACCTAGCCACAAAAGACCTAACACAGAAACAAAGAAAGAAAATGATAAAAGTTGTATTGCCAGGGAAGCAAAGAAACATATAACAACTGAGAAAAATAAGAAAGAATTGAAAGCAAGAGTGATACACAAGGCAGAGATAGAAATGGCGCAGAAAGCATCGGAGAACGGTACATGCAGTGCCCACAGTGTTGATAGTTTATCAGGGGGAGCGAGATTTGGCTTCCTCACCAATGAGTATCTGGTCAGGGATATCCTTGCTATGCTAAAAGATTGCCTGGTAGATTTAGGTGCCGCTCGGTTTAAAGTATTAGGGAAAGATCCAGAAAAGGAAAAAAGCAGTGGAAATGTTATTCATTGTGCAGAAGACTCTGAGGATGTGATAGATGTACGGTTAGAACAGCCTCTCAGCCACATGGTCCAGTCAAGCATTGACTCCTCAGTTATGAAGAAGAGAATTGCACAATTGACTCAGTATGTCCATGAAGCACAATGGCGTTTCCAGTTAGTCTGTCACGAATGTATTCCACAATCTGTCGGCCAGGTGTTACTGGAGGCAGTGAGTGTTACAGATGACAAGTGGGAGGAAGACCAAGGTGTAGGGGGTCACATCATGGAAAGTCAGCTTAACAACAGGAGGCATACACCCACTGGTAGCACAGGTAGCCATTACCTTCTTAGTACACCAGTAGTCACTCCCATCCAAGTGCACAGGTAGTCACTCCCATCTCGGTACACAGGTAGCCACTCCCATCCCAGTACACAGGTAGCCACTCCCATCCCAGTACACAGGTAGCCGATCCCATCCCAGTACACAGGTAGTCACTCCCATCCAAGTGCACAGGTAGCCACTCCCATCCCAGTATACAGGTAGCCACTCCCATCCCAGTACACATGTAGCCACTCCCATCCCAGTACACAGGTAGCCACTCCCATTCCAGTGCACAGGTAGCCCCTCCCATCCCAGTATACAGGTAGCCACTCCCATCCCAGTACACAGGTAGCCCCTCCCATCCCAGTGCACAGGTAGCCATTCCCATCCCAGTGCACAGGTAGCCACTCCCATCCAAGTATACAGGTAGCCACTCCCATCCCAGTGCACAGGTAGCCATTCCCATCCAAGTGCACAGGTAGCCACTCCCATCCCAGTGCATGCCATGTAGATGTGTTATAGTGGTGTTACCTTGATCACTATTACTGAAGATGATGATGAACAGGAATTTGTAATGTCAAAAATATGTAGTGTTGCTCTGCTTGTTAGAAAGAGCATTCCTTTTGATGGTAAATGGTTTACTTGAATAAGACATTACTATCGGTATAATCAAAGATGGGCACAATTGCTTTTGATCAACTGAGACCTTCTTGGTGATTACTATCAGTTCTGTTTGTTTCTCTTTGTTAATTGGTAAATGATCTTCGTAGGATTTTAAAATGTTTTTTTTTGTGTAAAGCCTATAACCGGTATTCTGAAAACCAAGATGATTAATGAGGCTGCTGCCTTGCAGTTATGAGGTAAATACAGTCAGGCACATCAGGAGTGGGGGTGAAGAGAGGGGGGAGGGGCTTACTCACCTGTCAGTATTCTGTTTCTGTTACATCAACTCTTCCAAAGTATTATCACCTGAAGATAAAAGAAGATTTCATAAATAATGACAAGTGTATTTTTGCCAGGGTGTAAAAACAAGTTCAGATAACAGTTCTTTATATAGTATTTAAAACTGTTCGTCGTGTTGGGTGAATAAAAAGATAATCTCTTGAACACAAAGTAAGTTTTTAGGTGACAGTTTTGAATACTTTTGTGAGCTTATTGGAACTTTCTGATGACTAACAGTCATTTGTAGATGGCTTCATCACTCTTCTGTAATGAAGATCAAAATATTTGTCAAAACAAGGTAAGAAACTTTATATGAGCCATACTTAGAACTATTTGCATTGTTTGACTATTCCTTGAAGGGTTAATTTGTTTGTTACTAGGAAGTAGATCTAGTCCAAGTCAGGAGAGTGAAGTACAGACAGACAGTGGGTTTGAAGGTCAGAGGCGCAGACGAAGGTCACGTAGCCGTCACTCTGCTCGATGGAAAGGGCCTCATCGTTACCCAGTTGGAATCATTCCTTTAATGTTGTCCTCCCCAGAATCCCTTCTCAACATGTGTATCTGCAAAGGCAATTACCCACAAGCCTCCCAGGTCACAAAGGTAAGTCTGGTACTCACTTCAATCTTTCAAGGTAAGTTACATAGGTAAGTCTGTTACTACCCTAAATCCTCCAAGGTTAGTTACATGGGTAAGTCTGCTAATACCACAATCTTCCAAGGTTAGTTACATAAATAAATTGCTACTACCCACAATCTTCCAAGGTTAGTTACATAGGTAAGGCTGTTACTACCCACAATCCTCCAAGGTTAGCTACATAGGTAAGTCTGCTACTACCCACAATCCTCCAAGGTTAGTTACATAGGTAAGGCTGTTACTACCCACAATCCTTCAAGGTTAGCTACATAGGTAAGTCTGCTACTACCCACAATCCTCCAAGGTTAGTTACATAGTTAAGGCTGTTACTACCCACAATCCTCCAAGGTTAGTTACATAGGTAAGGCTGTTACTACCCACAATCCTCCAAGGTTAGCTACATAGGTAAGTCTGCTACTACCCACAATCCTCCAAGGTTAGTTACATAGGTAAGGCTGTTACTACCCACAATCCTCCAAGGTTAGTTAGTGAACTCAATTAGTAAAATGTAAGCATTTCCACAATGTGATAATTTTCACTTTTACTCTTACTTACATTTATTGTCATCTGACTTTTGACAGAAGTAAGCACATTTCAACTTGTACATCATGTACTTGTGGATGTCTTCCTCTTCACAATGATATTAATTCACATGTATATCAAATATGTTATACAGTAAAGACATGTGAAGCATTGTTACATATACAGTTGGTATTTATGATGTATGTACATTTAATAAAGTTAGAATTACCTAAAACTTATAAGGTGTCAAACTCTCTGAAAAAACTTCCTGTCTGCTGCCTCTAACAATTTTTTCTCTAATGCTCGTACATGCTTCTCATTGGTCAATTTTGTCACGTGTATAGTCTACTTAAATATAGTAACAGATCTATATATATATATATATCATACAGTACGTATATATGTCCCCTACTCCCTGACCCACATTATAGTATCTATATTACTGAAGACATGATGGAAGGGGATTGCATTCATGTTGTGTATAAACTCAAATTAAATAAAATTTCCATGTAACATGATAGGAACTAGGGCTACCAAGTTTGTTCAAATGAATGACCTTGACATTTATTCAAGGTCACAGGGATCAGATATGTTCAAAATCTTTAAACAACCTCTTTTCAATAACCATGGATCCCAGAATGTTAATATTTTGCAAGCTGCATCTTGAGATGAAAGGCTATAAAATTTGTTCAACATAATGACCTTGTTCGACTTTCAAGGTCACAGGAGTGAAATGTTTTAAAATCTTTTTACAGTTTCTTTTGAATTAATTTCAATCATAAATACTGATATTTTGCCTGTAGCTTTATTTTAGTTCACTTTTAAGGTCACAAGTGTGAAATTTATACCAGGTGAGCGATGCAGGCTCATTGGGCCTCTGGTATATTTTGTGAGGTAGGTACATATAATCAAAAATTGAAAATTGATTGATGCTTTCACTGTCTAATAGTTACTGAAACTCGAGGCCAGACCTGAGGTTGCAGAGGTGTCCTTCTCCCAATCTTATAGTGAGGCTGTCAGGAAGCTCCATGGACTAAACATCGGGTCACACAAGAACTCTGTTCCAAAATCTAGCAAGCCAGGGAGGTCCAACATGAAAGCCCTGGCCTCAGTGGCTGCTGCAGGGGTTGCCACGGTGTCCATTAGCGGGGTTGCAGAGAAGCTTCTATCACAACCAAACCTTCCTAGTGTGCCGAGCTGCCGGACATGGGGGTCACTGCCTGCCAAGGTAGAGTGGACATTCCAGCAGGAGAATGGTGAGGTGATGATTCTGTTTGATCTGCTATGTATAGGCTGTAGAACATGGGAAATGTGTAACAACATGATAGACTCCATCAAGGTTCAGCTGAAGGAAAAACCCGGCAGCTCAAGGTCAACAGTGGGCAGGAATGAGGTTGGTGGCAAGGAGCATGGTGAGGAAGGTAAACGGTCCAGACAGAAGGACCTGCGAGACATGGTGCTTCAGTTTGAGAGGATTCTGCAGCTGGGGACAGGTGTGGACATTATGACACCATCACCAGGACAACAGGAAATATCTACAGCCCTATACAAACACAGCATACAGACATTCCTACAGACAGCCACTCTACCCCTCTCTCCTGACCACTGTAAGCTTTACGCACACCTCACCTTGGATGTCAAGAAGTGCTTAAGTAATGTGGAATCTGCATTTATCTTGGCCGAGAGGTCACCTGTCGATGGAAGCCCAAGTAAGAAACGGAAGGAGAGTGCTAGTAGTGTCAGCTCACAAGCATCTCCTAAAAAAAATGAGCAAGTCCAACCAGAACGACCAGCGATACACAGTACCATGAAGCAACTCCTACAGACCCTTGGCAGAGACCTACCTCTCGGTGGCTTGTGTCAACTGTTTAACAAGTGAGAACTGTTAACTTTACATTGTATGATCCACTGTTTACACATGTTTAAACAATTTACAGCTAGTTTTTTCTATTTTTAAATTCTTCATGTTCAGTGTCCTAATTTTATTGAACAGTTATAACTATATATGTTGTTAATATATCTATTGTTATAAATAAAAAGGTTGTCTATCTTACAAGGATTGATATGCCCAGTATGTGTGATTGATATGATGTTAACAGGGACAAGTGCACGGATCAAAGAAGGAATCGAGATTACCTACTCCACCTGTATGAACACCTCAAACGACTGGCTTTTGTAGTGGCTGAGAATGAAGCAACCTCAAGAGGTATATTTTGTCTATAAAATAAGCTAGTCCTGTGGTGTTTTATCTAGCACCTGTTTCTCTGCCTTAGATACTGGATGTTTGATAAATGAGGTAGTGTTTTTATCTAGCACCTGTTTCTCTGCCTTAGATACTGGATGTTTGATAAATGA